TTTCTGTTTACTAACTGTAGTTTAACTACAACTTAAAAGTAAACATGTATTCGAAAATGAAGCTGAAATAAAATAAATAATTTTAATAGTTAATTTTAATTTAAAAAAAAAAAAAAAAACATTTTAATAGTTTTAGTTAACAATAGTAAAACTGTCACATTAAATAACCAGTTTTACTAATATAAATGTTAACTAATAGCTAGTGAAAATGTATTGCCATTTACTGAAAATCTGCACTGGGATTTTTTTTTTTTTTTTCATTTTAAAAAAAGAAAAATGTTTAATCTTTATTATTAAATTGTTTTTTGTTTTTGAAATGAAGCTGAAATAAAATAAATCATTTAATTTTTATTTCAAATACAAAAAAAAATGTTAATAGTTTATATTTAGGTAACAACAACTATAGTGTCTCTTTAAAGGTGCTATATGTATTTTTAGCGGCCTCTATCGGTGATGTTTCAGATTGCAACCAATTTTTTCAAGAGCGCTCGTGCTCTTGCGCGTGCTCGAACACAAGAGCGAGCACTCATGGTACCTGCCGGCCACACACAGACTTTCAACACACCGGAGAAAGCATCACACAACGTGCTGGAAACTCATGTAAACTCCCACTGCAACGTTATAATAAGACTACTTTTATCAGTTTGACGTTGAACTAATGCTCCATGCTCGTACCATGATAACGTTACCTTGACTGCATTTAGCCGACATGCGGTGTTAGCATAAGGCATTTCACTAACTATTCGTGTATCTTTCACAATCAGCAATGTCAACATAGGTGAATATGATAACGAAAACGGTTAGTGACCTAGACTGAACAATTTCAGTGTAACAGTAAGATCGTAGGAAGTAACATTACTGTACTGAACATGTCTGAAAATTATAAACAATATGATAGTACTTGGAAGAGTGACGTTAGACAGTAGATCTAGTACATAAAATAAAAGTTACATCCTAAAGGACCTACTTTTTGTTATCCTGGAACAGTCTTTTGTATTAATTTCATGTCTCATGTATGTTGTAGTTTACCTTGCCATTTCATTACAGTTTACCATTATTTATTTCAGCATATCTGAAAACTTGAAATTGATCACAATAAAAATAGCGGAGGTCTCTCCATAATTCAAACGCTCTGCCGATGTTGATCCGTGTTTTCGTCCTGAGTCGATCAGAATCACGTTTGGCCTGACGAGCTTCAGCAGATACATTTTTTTGTTTTGTTTTTTATATTTATGTGGAGTTAGTGTTGGAGTGTGTGTTGTGCTGGAGGCAGGTCGTTTTTTGGTGTTATCAGACTCCATGTCGTCAGCTGCAGTGCCGTCGCATAGACTGTATATAAAAAGGATAGAGGTTCGGGAGCGCGCATGCACGTCACATCCGATGGATTTCGCAGAAAATCCGACCCGGAGACTTCACATAGAAATAGGAATACTGGCCTTCAGAGGTAATAGCAAAACCCGACAAGTGGATCATTGTAATGTGTGATTACAACCCCTCACACAGGCAATAAAAAAAGGATTCATTTTAGAAGAAAAGTTACATATAGCACCTTTAAATAACCGTTTTTACTAATATAAATGTTAGCCAGGGAAAATAAAAGTTGCGATTTACTAAAAATCTGTTGGGATTTTTTTCATTAAAAAAATCCTATCATTTTGAAAAGTTTTGGAAAAGAAACAATTTAAAATGAACATAAAGACAAATAAAATACTAAGAAATTTGTTTAATTAATTTTTTTGTTACACAATAATAAATATTAAATATATACATATTTAATCTATAAAAATATTCGTTTTTTTGTCATGGATTTCACGGGAAACAAATTTGTGCTCATGTAAATAACATTTTTGCATGTCATATTGCTGTATTTTTGTCTGTTGAAATGAATAATGGATTCATACTGCAGACTACAGTCACAGTCGGATTTTTCATTATGGTTTGACTCAGTATTTGATCAAGATATAGTTTCCTGGTTGTTCAGGTACACTGTATTGCCTTTGTTATAAGAAAGTGATACAGCTTGTAGACTCTGGACATGGCAAATATTGAGGTTTGGTGTGTATGTGTGTGTGTTATCATCCAAGTCTGTTTATCTGGACGTTGCTTCATTTCCTCCATCCTGTAGAGCTCACTGGCAGCTCAGATCATCTGTGGCGCAGAACCCTGACTGCAATTTCCTAAGGTGATGGAAACACGCATGTGGATGGTGTGTGTAGGCAGGTCGCAGGGGCCGCAGAGGCATAACATGTTTACCAAGCATGCAGGACAAGCGGCGCTCCAACTGCCCTTGGGTTCATATGGCTCCCGCAAATCCGCTTACATCAAAAGTGTGACATCTGGATGAGAGGACACCCTCTGTGCTGTGTGAATCATGTACCAGAGCGAGAGTGTTCAGTTCTGCTACAGGATCCCACAATGCAGAGGTTAGATTCGGACACACCTGCCTGTAGTGTTCGGGAAAACCCATTCAGATGAGGAGGGCTGGAACTAAACTGCACCTAGTTCACACAGTTGAAGATGCAGACACTTTAAGCATGAGGAATTATGTCAGATTACACAACGAATATGGGCAACGGGACACGATGTCATGGTTTAGAGCCAGGGCTGTTATAGTTGACTAAAACTAAAACCAAAACGATAACAAAACAAACATTTCTGCTGCTTAAAATAAATCGAACGTTAACTGAACTTTTAACTTATTTTATTGCAGTTAGTTGGCAAGGGAAGATTTCTTCTTTTCATTTAGTGTAACTTGATGTACTAAAATGACTAAAACTGAAATGAAAATGAATAAAAACTATACAGACTTATTTTTAAAAAAAAGAAGCTAAATATCAAAAACATACAATAAAGTGACTGAACATTTAACTACATTTAAAATGAATCCAGATACCAAAATAACACTCTATGGGGCTTCTGGTTTGGTAATAAATAAGTAATATTAATTAATAATAATACTAGTTTTGGGTCAGTAAGATGTTCTCTTAAATCTCTTATGCTCACCAAGGCTACATTTATTTGATCAAAAGTACGGTTTTCTATTTGAATATAGTTTCAAATGTATTTTATTCCTGTGATGCAAAGCTGAATTTTCAGCATCATTACTCCAGTCTTCAGTGTCACATGATCCTCCAGGAATCATTCTAATATGCTGATTTAATGCTCAAGAAACATTTATTATTATCAATGTTGAGAACAGTTGTGCTGCTTAATATTTTTGTAGAATTAATTTTTATTCAGGATTTTGTGATGAATAGAAGTTCAAAAGAACAGCATTTATGTTTTATAGATTTTTTGTAACATTACAAATGCATTTAGTTTCATCATCCTTGCTGAATAAAATAACTTTTTTTTTTTTTTTTTTTTTTAAGCCTTGCTTACTTTTTAACAGTAGTATAAATAAATAAATAAATAAATAAAGCATCTATTTCACTTTCATCTTTAAAGATTCTATTATTCATAATTAGTCAAAACTCTATAGACTGTATTGATCAGATCTTAGGCTTAGAATCTCAAATCATGTTAGTGATGTTTTACTTCGCTAAGCAAAGCGGAAGTTAGATCAAGGATAATAAAATTAAGTATAAATAAAATCAATGCGTTTCACTCAGATATCTGCATATCATCCCTTAAATTAACACAGTATCCGCTGAAAATCAGCATATTAACAAACACTTCGTTGTCAGTCTGTATCAGTTATACACACAAAGAAATGTTCTAGCAATAGTATAAAAAGTAAACTGTCTTCACACATGTGTATGTTCAAATAAAACTTATGCTTAAGGTATGTTTGCTATGAATTTAAAATATTTTTTTACCTTTTAAAAATGACAGAGCTTTGATCATAAAGTATTTAGATAGTTTTTGGAGATGTTTGGTCAAATATAACAACATCTGCACCAAATTGCATATTTTTGGCTCAGTTTGGGCCTGAGGGGTTTTTGTCCTCCTTGATTTTGAGCTCCATATCATACTAGATGACCCATAAAAACACAATATCAGCTTTACAGAGAAAATGATTGGAGAAATCTGGCATTTCAGCAGTATGACATTTTGATTAAACATTGCATGTACAAAAAAATAAAATATATGGATGATTTGTTCACAATAAGATAACCTGCATTTATAAAAATAGATTAGGTGAATTTATTTTATGCCAACTGTGGATTCTTCCTCACAGTCCTCACCAAACAAGATTACATTCTCGTGTCCTGAGTCTGACTGTTGGTCCTTTTTGCCAAATGTTGTGGGGTGATATAGATGAAATGTATGAATCCAGTGGAAAAGTAGACATACTATTCTCAACACGCTTTAATTTGGGACGCATTATTATTTATGACGGATAGTAGGCCTATGCGAATTAGGACACAGCACCGGAGCAGGATTCAGCACTCCTGTTTAGCTCAAAAAATGCATTTGATTTCTATAAACCTGAAGAAATATTTTTACCAAAACACCCTCCCATCACCTGTAAGATTAAGTTACGAAGTGACAGTCTTCAATGCAATACCTGCGTTCCTCAGAAGCGGCTCGCTTGGTTTCTAAATAAGGTGTGTGTCGTGCGCTCGGTGTGAGACTGTATTTGAGTCAGTGCTCTATATATGTGCTCGCTGTTGTTAAGAAACAAGTTGTGTGTGTGATTCGCCTACTTGGAGAGCAGGTATCCTCGTCTCACCCTGGGTATTCTACTCCTCCTCATCCATAATTGATCACACAATCACCTCTAGAAAATCGAGTTAAGCCATCTACCTCTCCCGCGAGCGTGCCAAACACTGATAGGTTGAGAGTTGCCAAAATCTCTTTTTCCTAAATCCCTTCTAGTTTGAGGAACAGTAGTGTTATTAATGCACAAAGTCGATCAATGCTGCGTTCAAAAAGCGCAAGTTAATCAATGCGCAGGAATGTGTTTTGCTGTACAGTTCTTATGTCTTCACTCGAATGCCTTTTCGAATCAGCGCCGTGTCAATAACATGCGTAATGATCTCTCTGGCTCTTTCAAGGTACGAGTTTGACTATGACACTCATTCCACGGGCTCAGACGTTTCAAAGCTTCCTTTCCGAGCAGACTGAGCAGGAGCAGGAGCAGAACCAGGAGCAAGCAACAGCGGCCTCTAGTGGCCACGATAGGAACTGCAGCGCCTCGCCGCTCCGTTGACATGCACTGTCATGGCTTGACGAAAGCCACGACTCCCGGACATTCCAAAGCTTAGGAAGCTCATAGACACATGAACAGTATGAACTCTCTTTTTCTCTCTCTCTCTCTATATATGTATGACTTAATAATTATTTGTAGAACAGGGTGTATACTAAGAACTCTAGGAGCCTCTTTTTGTACGTTAAAAAAAAAAAAAAAAATGCCAAAAAGTTGTACCATAAACTTTATTTTCCTTGTGTAGTTTAAGACAAATGGACTTTTCGCAGTTATTTTTCAGATATACTGTAAATATTAAAGCGCTGTAGCGCTTACATCCATAGTTTCTTGCATTTTTGTCTGTCTTTGTAATGGGATACCCACTTAGCTTCTGTCAAACAAGGAATATGTTTGTGTTTAGCACCCTGCACTTTTAAATTAGAGCTTGTTTTGCACTTTTGTCGTTTTCTTTGGGTTTCATTATGCCATGATATCTGTAAGTGCTGTGTGGTGTTTTGGGGATAATGAAAACAAAGCTTACTTTTATAGGGATAGTTCACCCAAAAATGGATATTCTGTCACTGTTTACTCACTTTCCAAACTCGTATGTTTTTGTTTCTTCTGTGGAACACAAAATAAGATATTTCAAAGACTGTGCTGGTTGCTCTTTTCCATGAAATCTGGAAAAGCTTCAAAAAAGACTTGTTTAGACTGTCAGTCCAAATCTGATCATATTTTACAAGTGTGAACGGCAAAAAACAACAACAACATGAAATATCCGATATTTACAAATCCGCTTTGAGCTACATTCAAATGTGATTTGAAATCCTATTCAAGTCTCATTTCTGGAAATCGGTTTCAGTCTGGCCGCTCTGATCGTAGCATTTAAAAAAAAAAAAAAAATTTACTTTCTCACACCACGTAAACACATATCATACTATATATAAAAAATGCATAATCATATTCTATATAATATTGCAATGCAACACTGCAAACCCTTCCATGCTGTTTTTGCCGTATGCGGACCAACGCAACGCAACAAAGCATAAACCAATGCAGATATTCCAGAAAATGAAAGTGCGCCATGTGACACACAAATCATATCTGAACAGTTTCGATACACATTGTGGACAGTCAATTCAGTTTAGATCAGATTCCAATCACGTCTAAACCATGAACAAATGATTGTTTTGAATCAGATCTTTTCAATGAATCAGTTACGCCATAGTCACACTAGACTTGGAGCAAATTTCTACGGACACTGCAACGATCGCAATATGACGTCACACTCTGCGGCGTCTTTTTAAGTACATATTCTACATCAAATATGCAATCTTACTCCAATGTACTACAACAGTGCAGTCCTGTAGATTCAAAGTTTGCGTTCTTTTGATTCAGCTAAGAGCGTATCAATCTTCTATTGGTCAATACGAATTTGATTGGATACGATACGAGTTTGCCTTGTCCACTAATACATTTTCATTTGAAAACGCATCTTTTTCTCTCCGGTTTGGCCTTCCGTCCACACTGAGATGGCATTTTTGTCCTGCAAAAACAGCTTTTTGAAAACGCTTTCCAAAGTGGATAAATTTGAAAACGCCATTTTCGCATTGTAGTGTTAGTGTTTCGCATTGAAACCAGAGGCATTTGAAAACGCTGACGCATCTTTAGCCATGTGACTCATTAAACCGATATATATGTATGTTTATACTGCTTAGTGTGCCTGTAATGTGCTATTCACTTTCACACAGTTGCTAAAATATGTTACTTTATACACACTTCAATTTCGAGTAAATTTTCCGTCATCTTTGCAGGACTGTGATATGCTGTCCTGCGGCAAAACACGAGAGCAGTTGCGTTTTAGACCAAACATAATGGTGAGAGAGTGCGACCTGGACGCATCAGTGAATGGTAAGATATTTTGCACAAAAAAAAAGATCCTGCCTGAAGAATAGCATGAGAACTTCATTATATTATATATAAATGTATACGTCCGAATTTGTGTGCGTAAACACTATTATTATATGACGTTTTGTAGTATAAATAGTGGCAAGTAGTGTGTTAACACTGAAAATTCCAAATAGAAAAAGTTCACTTAAAATAGGTATCAGGCATAGACAGTATAAGAAGTGGACAGAGCCATCTCATTGGAACTCAGTTGAGACAGTTGAAGCCCATTTTTAGCGATTTTTGAGCACTTCCGCTCCTGACGCGCAGACTCAAACCGACTCGAACTAAGCTTGATGACGTGAGCAACCTGTCTGACAGACGTTAATCTTCTAGTAGCTGTGCGTGAAAATTGCCAACGTTAATCTTGCAGAGACGGGGAACTTGAGCAAAGAGTTATTTGGCGTGAGTGAGCAGGAGTAAGTATTCCGTTGCTTTTATGGACTCATTATCTATGGGCTTCTCCCTTGACGGGACGTCACCCCGATTGCCTGCGAGCTTCTCCTCCTGTCTGTACGGTAATTTCTGTACAGCGCGACAGAGAGTCGAGTGGTTATGACGCAATCGTTAGCCTATTTTTACAAAAACTGTTTCTACGGGGCCATAATGTAACATAGAAGGTAATGGAGCCCTTTATACATTGTCGTGTTTCTTTAGAAATAAATAATGGACAAATGGAGTCTTTAAACGCCTCAGATGTAAAGTTATTCGCTGTCAAAGTGACGCCAAAATGAATGGGAGTCAATGGAATGCTAACGCAAGTGAAGTTCTGCTACAAGATGGCGGCACCCGGCCGGCTTCAACTTCCGGTCGATGGATTACCCCCTTGGGATCAGGCTTCCCGGATGATGCACTTAATCAACCGAAAAAACGAAGTGTGGAATGTTGGACACTTCATGCACTCAACTGTCACAGACTCCCATGTTGAATGGCAAGATAACCTTATAGAATTCGTACACTACACGGTTGAGTACATAGTCATTTGGGATGCAACTTTTGTCTGTTCCGTCTGTATCATCTCAGTGAGTTTTTATGAGGTTTTACGTAGGCCTATGCGTAGTAAGGTGAATTTAGCGTTTTCCGACGTTTCAGTGTGGATGAGAAACTTTTGGATAACGCTAGAGTGGACGGAGAGCTTTTTTTTAAACGAAAAACACAGTTTTCAAACGTATCCGGATTAATGTAGACGTAGCCTAAACTTGAACTTTGGAACGCGACAAAATGTGAAACTAGCGTTTCCGGACTCCAGCATTCGCATGCTTATGAATAGAAATCAATTTAATGAAAAATGTCGCGTGACCGTCCCTTTAGTTGAAAAACGCAGTCTGACTGATTAATTTACTAATCTGAGTGATCTGGAGTCAATTATCTGGTCACAGCGGTTAAGACGACGACAGTCATGCAGGTTTGGAATAACACGGAGCAGAAAAATGGTCAGTTGCATTTTTGGATGAACTATTCTATTCTCCAAAAACAACCTTATTTTCTATGAATTCTATGTATTAATTTCTGAAAAGTGTCTACACACTGGATGGGAGGTTCAGTTCATCTGAAGCCTCTCACACTGCAGAAGAAGTGCCTTCAGACTCTGCTAGACTGAGACTCTGGCTGGAACGCTGATTCAATTAGCATCCCTCCAACCATCCAACATGTGTATAACCGAATTACGTTTATCTGTTGACGCTGCATTTGTCTAAAAGCAGAACAAAATATCTGTTCTCTCCCCGCACAGGAAAATGCTTAACTCTTCTGAATGTCTTTGGGTTTTTTCAAATGGTCTTGTATAGATAGGATGATAAAAGTGTGCACAGAAACAATAATGCATTCAGTGAGACAATCAATTTACTTTATAACTTGACCATAAAATACCTTTAAATGACTGTTGATCTTTTGTCTCATCGTGGTAGAACAACCTGATTTCACCAGAATAATAACATATGTCATGATGTGGAGCTAAATGTTTTAAAGCACATTATGAATTGTCATTCCCCCCCCTCCCCCCTTTTTCCACATGTAATTATTTGCTGATACTCAGAATTCATTCTAGGCAGCGTTTAGTAGCACTTGAATGTGAATCAAACCTCTGTTTTCTTACAGTATGCATTGTACATCATTTAAAAATGTCTTTAAAAAGGGAATGTCCTTTCCTAAGGAGATTTCTAAGGGATGTTTGGTCAAACACTGTGTTGTTTAATACCATGATATTCCATTGCTCGGGACTTTCCCTTTGGGATTTTCCAGAAATCATTTCTTGTAAGATGTCTTTCTGGTTGTGTTATAGCATTTACACCAGTTTTAGTTTGTGTGTGTATGCTTATTTGTAATTGTATGTTGTTTTTAATCCATGTTTTATTTTAAGGCATTAAGTAGATTTTGTCCTGTGTGGATGTGTCAATGTTTACTGAGTAAAATAAAATGGACTTTACAGAAACCCCTGAATACAGTATATGCGTCTGTGACAGAAATAATTCACAAATATATATGTGTGTGAATACTGTATATATATTTCTTAAATACAGTGAGAACAGTAATATTGTGAAATTATATTCCTGTGATGGCAACGCTGAGTTTTCAGCATCACATTATCCCTCAGAAATCATCTAATATTCAGATTTTTGTGCTCTAGTAACATTTCTTATTATCAATATTGAAAAAAGTGCTTTTTTTGATGAATAGAAAATTCTAAAGAACAGAGTTTATTTGAAATGAAATAAATTATTTTATTCATTATATATAAATTAAAGTAAAATAAATCTTACTAACCCCAAACTTTAGAAAAAATGTAGATGTGATCTTTCCATTCATACTTGATATTTAAATGAGCATATAAAAATAAGAAAAGCAAAAAGTCTACATTTAAAAGGTTAATATCTTTATATAAGTCTTAAAGAACACCATCATTCATGCATAATACAGTCTCATGAAGCCAAATCCCATGTCTTTTCAGAGTACCAAGCCTAATTTTTGATTCATAATCAAATACAGATCGATTTGTGAGATCAAGGACAGAATAGGAGCATCAAAATGTGATTCATTTTCTTCCTGTACTTGTTAAGTGCCCTGTGCTCAAACACCAAATCTGAACTCTTGAATGATCCGAATCATTTAAAGTCATTATTCCTCACAATGCAAATCCTATTCCGCCTGTAAGCTGAGCATTGTCAGTTCGACCTATGAGTAATGAAGCCTTCGTATCCTCGTTTTCATTCGTGAGGCTGGTACGTCCATTTCTGCAGAGAGAAAGCATTCAGGCTCAAACTGAGACAAGGATGTGATTCTGAGAAGATTCATCCACTCAAAAGCTCTCTGAGATCCAATCATTTGATAATTAGAGTCACTCAAGCTAAAGCGTCGCTTCGGTGTCTGTTCAGAGTGACCGTGCTTGGCTTATATCTGGCTTTGACACAGTCCAGAAAGCTTCTTAAGCAGATTACCTGTCAAACAGACTCCACCGAGGAGCAGAGAGGACGTTTTTTCCACAATGTGTACATGAGCAGCAAACATCCAGCACCATTATGCAATGAAATGCCATGAAATGTGAGTTCTGGGCCAGGCTTGAATGGTTAATGCACTGATGAAGATGACGATGATGGTGGTAGTGGTTCATCAAATGACAAATTATACGCACAGCTCCATTAATCTTCTGCATTATTAGGAATTTCCCCTCTGATCCATCCATTAGTATTCAGGTGCGAAAGCATTTCTTGGCACTGATGTTTGGTTTGTGTTTTATGATTTCTGCTCTTCAGCCAAAGCTAGTTCTTCCACGTAGACGCCAATTTATCAGTTCGAACTCTATTGAGTGGTGGTGTCTCATCTCTTTTGTTTTTGTTTTTTATGAGCCCTCACTATCTGAAAGTTAACATATATTTCTTTATCTCTCGCCCCACTTTTGGTCCCCTTTTTCATCCTGTCATAGACACAGCCATGATCATATGGGTTACGCTGCCACAGAAAGAAAACATTCAGTTTGAGTTATGAATAAAAGAAGCATTAGTACTACTGCAAAACATCTGTGTGAAGGGATTTTCATTAGTAAAGGAGAAAGCGGCAGCTAAGCAAAGATATGTTTATTGAAGGCTGCTGCAAGGACATGACACCGCTTTTCAATACAATATAATAAACTATTTAATAGAGAATATAAAGTGCAGATTTTCTCAGAACTGTGTTTTGTCAAGTGAAAATGGATTCAGGAGAGATTGGATACTGATATAAGTATAAGAATTGCTATCTTTACTTTGCCTTGTGTTTTTACAGTGGACACACTGGAATTGAGGCATGATGTGTTGATCCCAACAATGAAAAATGTCCCATGAACAGCCGTATGTTTATATACTGCATAATATACTGTTGCAGGGTGAATTTTTATGAAATATGTCCAGGTGTTGTTATTGTCAACTAAAAGTAAGACTATTAAAAATATTTTTTGTTCATTTAAATATATGAACAAAAAATATTTGTAATAGTTTTAGTTTATATATACACACACATATATATATATAAAATAAGTATTTACATTTCATGGTAATATTTGTTGTATTGAATTTAATTTGTTGACTAATAAAATGTTTAGTATGGGCACTGACGATGATTCATTACTGCCATAGTAATAAAAAAGAGGGTTTTTAAATCACTATAATTTTGGAAGAGTAATGTGATTCATTGTGATGAAAATAAATCATAAAATCATAATTTTTGAACTTTTGATTTTGGAGTGAAATATGATCGTGGACATTTCTCCATGAGATTCGACAACACATGGTCAGCTGTGTGGAGCAAAACTGATTGACATATTTACCTGTCTTTTGGCAGGGTGCAGTTTGATTCTGTAGTCCTCTCTCTTCCTTTTCATCCTGTGAAAACCAGTTTAGAAATTGAGTGACGGTTTACTCTAGATGACAGACATTAAAGGCCACTTAATCATTTTATTAAGGAGCAGCAAAGCAAACACTGCCGTATGGAGATAGGCTCGCTTCACTGCAAAATAACAAACTGCACACTCAGTATAAAACTTCGTGAGGCTGGCAGCAAGTGTGCTGGACATATGGTGAAGGCGAGGAGGGGACGGGATTTCACAGCCAATTATCTGAGAGACCTCTTCACAAAGCAGATGCTTATATCTTCATACCTAATGAAAGCTATGGGAACTGCATTGTTCTTCAACCTTCACAACATGAACGGAACACAAGTCTGCGCTATTATACCAGCAATGAATCTGTTCATACTTACTATTTAGTTATGTAACCTCTAATTACTTCCATTTAAAAAAATAAGAAATTATGCTTTTGGCTGTGTTTATCACTTGCTAAAGCAAATCCTCACGAGGTGGATTGAACCTGAAGTGAAAAAACATCTTTATGATTAATAAAGTAAGATGACATATACCTGTTCAGCCACGTCACTAATAAAATCATCAGAAGAGCGACAGCAACCAGCCCTCCTCCAATATACACATACAGCATGTAATGAAGACCCTGCAAATCTGAAATGAGAGACACATTTAAAGGGTCGCTGAATCCTAAAACACATTTTTTGATATGTACAGGTTGCACATCAATGAAAACAACAATAGCGCTCATTATGGGAAAAGTGTTTTTTTTTGGAGCCATTTCGTTCTGGTTTGAAAAGCAAAGTTGAACCAACTTCACGAAAAATGAAGATATGCCTATGCGTTAATTCTAAGTGGTGATTGGCTGCTTCGGCTGGAGAGTAGCCTACATCATCAGTTTCAGAGCATTTCTCAGCATTTATTCATTAGAATTAACTTTTTAATTCAATCACTGCGCTGTATTATTATGCCTGAGATCGCATCAATTCAAAAGACAAAATACTGTTTTAGCGCTGTTCGTTCACACAACTGTTCAAGTTCGGACACACGTGTAGTGTTCCTTTCCTCAGTACTGCAACACAAAAGTGTTGTTGGCATTCTCCCCACGATGCCGTTAAAGTTAAATTTGAGTACCATTTTAATAAAAGCTGGACGACTTGTGTTGCTAAATGTCATGCAATTACTTTACAAATATATTGTATGGTGGAGAAAATGCTGTATTACTTTTACCATACTATATAACAATGATTCGTTTTCTGTTGATAAAGGTATCCAAAAAGTTGCTCGCATGTTTAATAAAACAAAGCATCTTTGGTGTTTTCATGGTTTCTATGGAAGTAAAACCAGAAATCGAGGGTAGCGGGGATATGACATCATTGACAGGCGACGCAATGACACGGGACGTTACACTGGTTAAAATTGCTGATTTCTCTGCATTTTAACATTATTGATTAAACATTTGGGATCATGTAGGTACAAAATTCATCAAAATATATAACATTGTTCTAGTGGTTTTTGGATATTTTAATCCAAAAATCTTACATATTGTGCCTTTAATGAAAATAAATCTGCGTCTCAACTCAAGCTACTGCTACTGTCAACTCAAGCTAAATGTGCATTTCCAAGAGACAAAATATGTAATATTACACATGTAGTGTGGTGCTACCAAACCAGGTGCTGGTGACACTGCTCTCAAATTGACAGAAATTTTGCTAATGACCGTACCTTAAAGGAGAACTCTGGCGCAAAATGAACCTTTGGTCTAATAACACATTGGTACCTAGTCAACCGTTCTCTGAGATTTGTTTTCATGATAATCGAATGTAAAGAGTTGTATCTCTATAAACTGTTTAGCATATAACGCTAGTATATAGGGCATAGAGTAATGAAAAATAAGAATCGCTTGTTAATACCGCTAACAAGGCTCAAAATAGCCCCACACTAACACGGTAGCATAATGAGGGTCCCTACATTCACAAAAACTCGATGGATTACCCACCATTTTGGTTTAGGACAGTCAGTTTCATATTTTGTGCTGCTAACCCTTAAATGCATGAATGTTTCGCCAATCATTATTACATATTCTGGACTTTAGCGACCCGGACTCTATCTAACACGGATGACTCTCTCTGCTGTAATAGTACAAAACTCTCCTGATATTTTAATAAAATTGACAAAGGAATAAAATAAAGCATATTTCGTTACCTTTTGGAACTTCTAAGAGTTCAATTTGAGCAGATGTTTTATACCATCATCATCACAGTCATCGTCAGAGCTCATTTCCCAGTACATTCAGCATCTGGCTCATATTGATTGTGTTCAGTACTTGCTCTGCAGTAAATCGCTCAGCCATTTCAAGTTTTGCTGATGATTCTTGTTATATTATTTAAATTTTAATTTGAAAATTTCGTTAAAAGACCTGAGGTATGCGTTTATGGGTTTAAACAATTTTTGTCTGTAAAAATTCATAACATTTTAGTATGGCAGTGGTTCTTAAACAGAGGGCCGGGGCCCACTAGGGGGCCTCAAGATAAGCTAAATGTTACAAATAACAAAACAAGCATTAAAATAAGCTATAACTAAGCTAAATATTAAGATATATCTTATTTCAATTCAGCGCCAAACGTTTTGATTATAATTATTTTGTTTTATTATTATTTAAGAGGGCAATGGGGGGCTTTCAGTCAAAATGCTTGAGATCTGTTTATTTTTTTTTTTTTTAAATAATTATCATCCTTTTTTAACAGAAAATGATTGCATGATAGGGTTTTTACTTACAAACACTACCATTCAAAAGTTTGGACACATGAATGCCCTTTGACTGGTACTGGTCATTCTGTGTGGACAAAAAGGTGCGGAAAGGAAAGACAGATTTTGTAACAGTCCCATCCTTGTCCTACCTTGAGCAGGTAGAGTGGTCAGCAGGACTGTGGTGGACTGCACGCCGGCGTCTGTGCTGAAGTTGCAGCGGTAGAATCCTGCGTCTTCTTTAATGATGTTGGTGAGGTGTAGACTGACCTCCATAGCATCACTGCAGTTCACTCGTCCTCTACTGTCGAACTCATTCAGCTCCACTCCTTCGCTCAGCATCTGACACGTTGCTATGATATTGCTACTGCCCTCCTCAATGTTCAGTTTCTCTATGCTCACTTGTAAAACCTCACCGTTGTGGACAAGGTCACATTTAATGGTCAGGTTGTCGTTCTCTGCCACCACCAACTTAGTGTCCGGTTGAATAGAGATGGTGGTGGTGATTGCTAGGAAAAAAGTAGGAGAAATGTTATACAAGATCAATAAACCTTATGTATGTTACGTGTTCTGTCTTCCGGTTTGTTTTTCCACAGCATGAAGTTAAAATTGTACGGATTTATGAATGAACCGCTCATTTTCAACATCCTTTTGACATCCTCTTCAAACATTACAATGCTCATAACTTTCATTAACTCTACCATTAGTAAATCCACTAAACCAGCTACAGTACATACTCTTCGATCTATCGCAAAAACAGAATATCAAGGTTATACCTATTGAATTTAGTGCTTGACCAATATGGATTTTTTTTTATGGCTGATATCTTAGAGAGCAGGGTGGTCGACATAAAGCCGATTGGCTATATATGATATCACGCGATTTCATTTAAAGACAGTAAATAATACATGGATAACAATTGCTGCAATAAAAATGCATTTACATTTATTTAACACATTTACTAAATTAGAAAAATGTATATCCATACGCAAAAAAAACGGATAAAAAGTAAATCTGTAAAATAAACAGATTTATATGTTTTACAGAACGTCTTAATTCTGTGATCCTATTTGGATTCACCAAAGATTGGGGTTCGTGAAATTAAATGTTTATTACATATTCTAAGACTTGTTTAGATGATATACATGTATATGTATGTGAGAAAGTGTTGTAGCGTTTGTTTTTTTATTACTGACGATAGAATAATAATATACCATTCGATTTCTTTAAAGTTACCATGAAATCAAAATGAACAATTTCAGGGTTTTTTATGGAATATTGCAGTATTTACTATAAATGATTTATCTGTGCATATAATTTTTTTAATTCATGTGCCCTCATAATTTTTAATCAAAACAACTTCCCCTCTCTCAAGCAACGACATCTCTTCTCTGATGATGTGTTTACTGGCACGAGGGCGGGGCAACCTGTCAATCACATGACATCACAGCAATAGAAACCCAAGCAATCCAACAAATTCCTGATGGACAAAATCAAATCCCACCCTACATTTTTCTTGTTCGAGTAGCCGTTTCACTCGGAAATACGTTACAATAGGAAAGAAAAGACTATCGCAACTTGCTTCTCATGAAGAATATTCTAGATAGAACTGTTAAACAAAACTAACGCAGGCGGATAATGGGTGCTGCGGATCTGTAATGCTGAAGATGGCAAAAGTGAAATGGTTTCAATCACCTGTATTTTCGACAAATGTGTCTTTTGTCCATGAACCCTGAGGATATGTCTGCAGAGAGCAATGATACTGGCCGATGTCATCCTCGGTGACGTTACTTATGGAAATGCTGCCATCCATCTGGGTGGTTTTCAGAAACTCCACTCTACCGTCATAAGATGATTCGAAGTTGGTGCCATACTGAGGGTGATAAATAGCTAAAGGTTGTGAAAGAGACTTTTTAGTCCAAGAGACCATAGTGAGCTGGCCAGTCCACGGACACAGGCAGTCCAATATCATTCCCTCCTGCAGTATGACTGTTGATTCTGGGGCTTTCATCTGAACAGAGTCTAGAAGATCATTGCGGAAATGTGGGAAGGCAGACACAGATTAAAAAAAAAAAAAAAAAACACAATAGGGGGAATATTAAGTAGGAATATTGTATTACTTACACAAATGCCAATAAAGCTATTGTGAATTTGGAATACAAAACCATCTCAAAGATACATAATTCCACATTGTTTTTTTGTTATAATAGATTTCAAAACTAATTTGTTAGAGATTTTGCAAAGAAGTCAATGAAATACACTACCATACAAAAGTTTGAGGTTGGCAAGAATTTTTGTTTTTGCACAAAACAAAAACACACCCTGGGCTCATTTATTTGATCAAAAATACAGTAAAACGTTGATATTGTGAAAGATTATTAATTTAAATATATATTAAAATGGCACATCTGTGTTTTCAGCATTATTACTCGCATGATCCTTCAGAAGTCAGTCTAATATGCGGATTTGCTGCTCAAGAAATATTTCTTATTATTATCAGTGTTGAAAAGAGTGCGGTGTTAATATTTTTGCTAAAACTGACTTTAAGATTATTTGAAAAAGTTGAATAGAATTTTCTGTAACATTCTAAAAGGATATAAAAATATTTCAAAGGTGACAGTAGACACTTATATTATTATATAAATATTACATCAAGTACAATGATTTTTTTTCAGATTTGTATAAATTTAAAATTACCATTCTAACTCTTTTATATACTGCATATGTGTGTATTATAAATGAATAATATATTATTAATATATGTATATACATTTCCAGGCTAAATCAACAAAAAATTGTTGGTTAAATAAGTATTTTTTTAGTTTTATAAGGGTACAAAATATAATGTAACCAACAACCACAAGTACAAATGAAAGTTACTTTCAATGTAACCACATATCCTCCTTTCCAAACTAAGCAAAATCAGTTACTGCAGACGTTTCCTTCAATAAGTCTATGAAAACTTTTTTTTTAATTTATATTCGTCATCAATAAACAGTCAATTCAACTCGTACGTAAACAGGAACACTGTTTATAATGCAAGAGAACAGCCATTCATGCTTACGCGTCCTTAAATATAGATATAAATTACCAATGCACAAACAATTGCTTATAACAAACCATTTAACTACAGCCGAAAGTTCCTACCTTTGCTAAAAAACTACATTACCTTTCAGAAAACAGAGCGGCATCATGAGTACCAAGAAGTACCAGTAATCCTTTTGTACTGCCACCATCTTGCTCCTCTGAGACAGAATGAATACAGCATTGACAGGACTGAGGCGACCACAGGCACTATCTGTGTTCAGCTGCAAGAGTCTGCAATCACCTCCTCAACCAGCGGTTAAACACTGTTACAGAGGAGGTGTTAAGTTCACCAAAATACAATGACCCGAATTCTAGCCCACAGTTTTTTTTTGTTCTACTGAAACTGAAAGAGCGGATTTGAAACCAATCTCTGAATTCCCCTATGATAAGAATACATCAAAATAAAAGTAAAACAAAAATAACGACCTTACGTGATTCATCCATAATTGGATAGTACACCCAAAAATGAAATAAACTTTGGATGTACTAGTCCTTTACAGTGCAAGTGATAAATAATTATTGAGATTTCATCATCCAGTTATACCGATCTGACAGCTAGAAAATGGAGAGGCGTCTACTGTAAAACCAGTCCATTTATTGATTTGCTACAAAACAAAAATATACAAAAACTGTTTCATAGTATGTACCAAAACATAAATATACATTCACATTATTAGGTGACTTCAATGACCTCCATCACCAGTGAGGCACTTAAGAGTTGAAGATGTGTGTGAGATTTTTCAGGCACTTCAGAAGATAGATGTTCAGGGGTTTGTCACTTCTGTGCTCTTCTTCTACACGAACAAATAAACAGACAGACAGACAGACAATTACCACACACTCACAGAAAACGATCCAATCCTGATGTATCTACTGCAGTAGTATCATCTGAAGAGTAAAAACGAGAGGCTCTCCTATGATCAAACTGAATATATTCGCACCTTTCCTGGCGGACACGTACGCCTCTTCAACTTTCAGTCTGATGGAAGGACACTTCAAAGTGGCCTTTGCCTTTGCAAGAGGAGACATGCAGGATGGGAAGATAAAGGGTGAGACAGATCTCCAAGTGTGTGACTCACATGTAATTTGTGTTTATAAAAATGATCATGAATAGTGTCTTATTTCTTTGAATCTAGTACAACTATTATTCCCAATAATAAATTGAAGGGATAGTTCACCCAAAAGTGAAAATTCTGTCATGTCGTTCCAAACCCGTTTCTGTGGCTTAAAACTGGTAGTTGCATAGGCTGTCAATGGAGGGCCAGAAAGCTCTCAGATTTCATTTAAAAAAAATCTTTATTTGTGTTCAAAAGATGAACGAAAGACTTACGGGTTTGGAACAATATGAGGGTGAGTAAATGATGACAAAATTTTCATTTTTGGGTGAACTAACCCTTTAACTGTTTGTAAAAAGCATTATATAACAACTGAATGCCACTGAATAAATGATGTTACCTTCTGATTGTTGTGCAATAAAGCCCAAAGTGCTGAAGCTCCTATGGTACGTATATCTGATGAGCTACTACTCAAACAAGAGACTAATAGCTCAACAGCTTTATCTGAAATACAAAGACATTTTTATATATACATATATGTAAATGTAAATATGACACACAAACATATATACACACACATATATATATATATATATATATATATATATATATATATATAAACACACACCACATACATACTGTACATACATACATATATCAATGTTTAATAAAAAAAAAGTAATAAAAATGGCATTATTGGTGGTGTGGATTTGCACAGTTTCACACTGTTTTATGAGTACATTCACATCATGTCAAGTCAATCATCTCATTTCCTTCGCTTTCTATAAAAAGGAATTGGGCGGAAATGTTGGTGTAATGTGTAAAAATATTATCACGCCGTTGCAGCTATTGTGACACATCTGTAATTCAGTGTTTATGTGTGTGTATGTGTTGCCATATCATCATCGTACACGATGAACAGCTAAGAGAGATGAGTGTTTGTGTGTGGTGGATCACTTTTACACAGGGAGTGTTAAATTCATCTTAACAGGCTGGAGTCAGTCACAGACCAAAAAAAAATATATATATATATATATATGTTATATATATTATATGTTATTATATAATATATATATATAAATATATATATATATATATATATATATATATTATATTTAATAAAATTATTAATTACACCTAACATTATTCCTATTTTGGTAACACTTTACAATAATGTTTAATTTGTTAACATTAGTTAAACTAATAACGAAAAATACTTCTAATGCAGTGTAACGTAGTTCGTTGTTATGGGAAGGAGGAGGCGGGAACTGGCGAACATTTAAAGAATAATAAATAAATAACTTTAATAAATAAATACTAGTAAACTAGTTTATTTATATCCCCTCACGGTCGATATAAATAAACAATAAAATAAAAAATAAAACTAGCCACACAGAATAAAACAAAACCTCAAATAAAACAGTCCAGACGTCATTCCTCCTTTTATGCTTCCGCTCCTCCGTGAGAGATACGAGACTGATGCGTCACGCAGGTGATGCTCATCATTAATCACGACACCGGCCTCGCGCCGCTCTCTCACGGCCCTCGGCCTCGTCCTGCTCGCCACATGCAGTTTTTAACAAAAAGTAAAAACTGCATTAGAAGTATTTTTCGTTATTGGTTTATAATGTTAATATATAACATATATATATTAGTGAACAAAATATTTTATAAAAAAAAAAAGAAAAAAAATGTGTGTATTATTTTTATTTTTGGTCTATGACAGACTCCAGCATGTTAAGATGAATTTAACACTCCCTGTGTAAAAGTGATCCACCACACAAACACTTATGGCAACACATACACACACACATATACACACACTGAAGTACGGATGTGTCACAACAGCCGCAATGGAGTGATAATATTTTTACACATTACACCAATGTTTCCGCCCAATTTCTTTTTATAGAAAGCAAAAGAAATGAGATGATTGACTTGACATGATGTGAATGTACTCATAAAAAAGTGTGAAACTGTAAATCCACACTACCAATAATGTCATTTTTATTACTTAGAATTAATTATTGATATATGTACTGTATGTGTGTGTGTATATATGCTGGGACGCACACACACACGCCCAATTTGACATGTCCAATCCACCTAACCTGCATGTCTTTGGACTGTGGGAGGGAAACCAGAGCACCCGCAGAAAACCCACACTGACACAGGGAGAACATTCAAACTCCACACAGAAAGGACTTAAACCAGGGACCTTCATGCTGTGAGCTGACAGTGCTACCCACTGAGCCACCGTTCAATATTCACGAATACATTATTAAAAACAAAAGTTGTATCTGTTAAAGGGATAGTTCACCCAAAAATGAAAATTCTGTCATTATTTACTCAACCTCATTGGTCCAAACCTGTAAGACTTTCGTTCATCTTCAGAACACAAATGAAGATCTTTTTGATGAAATCTGAGAGCTTTCTGTCCTACGCACATTTGAGCTTCAGAAAGAACCAATGAGGTTTATTCTCGCGTGTCAAGCAGGTTCGGTTGAGCTTCTGTTTATGTTCACTGATCAATGTTAATATGTGAATAAAAGTCTAAATAAATTTGTATCATATAAAGCGGACTAAACCGCTTAATTCATGTGGATTAGTTTTATGATCTCTTTATGAACTTTTTGAACCATCAAAGTGGTAGTTGCATAGCTGTCTATGGAGAGTACAGAAAGCTCTCATCAAAAAGATGACCAAAAGTCTTATGGGTTTGTACGACATGAGGGGGAGTAACTAATGACAGAATTTTCATTTTTGGGTGAACTATCCCTTTAATATTTAATATTGAGCTTATATGAACAATGAACAGTATTTTTTATTAACTAACATTAATAAAGATGAATAAAAACAGTAACAAATGTATTGCTCATTGTTCGTTAATGCATTAACGTGAACTAATAATGCCTTATTGTAAGTGTTACTATAATGTTTATGTTACTTTTGGGGAAAAAACAGGTTGATGTATCAGCTAGGCCAATTATTCAGACAACATTTGGCTATTTTGTAAACCATGCCTGCTGAGCCTTATTAGAGACTGGCATTGGCATCAACCACTCAAAAAGAAACATGTTGGTCGACCATTAACATCTAAAACCCTGTTAATCCAGCGCTCATACCGTTGGCTAAGACTTTGGGCTTGTTAGCGGAGCAGAAGCAGATGTTGTGGAGAATGAGCAGGATGGTGGGTTTAGTGCTCGAGTGTTTGGACTGGGCCAGTTCGACCAGCAGCTCCAAAGCCCCTCGGAGCCTGAGGATCATCTGCTGTCCGTCCTCCCCGAACGACACGTTCAGCAGCAGCCTGAGCCACAGGGACAGAGGATCCCCTGTCGAAACGCCACCTCGACCACCTGCCTTAGGCATGGGGAGAGACAGGAAGTTCTGCAGGAAGTTACTCTAGGGAAAGAGCAAGAAATAAGCTTTTGTTGACACTTCTCTTTGTGAATTTCTCTATGAAACTATAAAGTGGATTTGCAACCAGAAGTTCTCAACTCTATTATTTACTGTATAGACTGAAGTGGTTCTATTTATTTCTCCCCTGAATTGTCTTGTTCAAACATTAGCCAGTGAGTTACCTTCAGCAGTGCCCCTTTGCAGTCCCTCGAGATGGCCAGGTTGGCCAGCAATGAGAAAGCCAGACTGTGGATGCTGCTGTTGTCAGGGGCAACCTGGGAGGCCAGTTTCATCACCCCATGCATCAGTGAATTTGTGACCGCAGTCTTAGGAAGAACAGCCTGAACTGAGCCAGAGCTACAACTGCTGCTGCTACATAAAGCACTGCATGCTGAAAGAGAATGAGGGACAGACAGACAGAGAACTGTTGATAAGTGTTTCTTATCAGAAACCATCCAAAACCCTAAAGATTAGGCCAAACCCCTTGCATACATTTTTTTAGCTTTAAACACGTTGCCACACACAGACACGGTCCCATATTCAGCAAGGATGCATTAATTCAGTCAAAAGTGACAGTAAAGACTTTTATATTGTTACAGAAAAAAGAAAAAAGAAATTCAACTGTTGATGATAATAAGAAATGTTTGATGAGCCAAATCAGCATATTAGAATAGATGTGGCACTGAAGACACAAGTAAATTCAGCTTTGCCATCACAGGAATAAATTACATTTTTTATATTTCACAATATTACTGTATTTTTTATCAATATATATATATATATGTATATGTATATATATATATATATATATATATATATATATATATATATATATATATTGGTGCTGCAGTGCCCTTGGTGCTGCAGAATAGTGCTACAGGAAACACGGCTGGTGATATAAAACCACACAACCCTTTTTCACCTTTTTTTTAATCTATGCATCTTTACTGCCTCAAAATATCACTGCGCAGTTGTGTAACAATGAGCTTGGAAACTCAATGGAAACTTACATTGTATTTTAATTCTTAATATATCTAGATAAAAATGTATTTCCTCCAGATCTAACAATGCTGCATTTAGTACAGTGTCAAAACCACTAAATGTCTCACTTCTGGGTAAGTTGACAGACATATTTTTAAGAATAGAATGGCTGCAGGTGAATCATTTAACATTATTCTACTGGATTATTGAGAGAACTCAGCAGGGTTTTGCTTGCAGAATAAATCCAATATTAATCGGCCAGATGAAAGAATGAGGGTTGTGTGTTGCAGGTTAATGAATTATACAATAAAAAGTGACACAGGACAGAGTATGATGGGAAGGACAATTGCTGGAGGGCTGATTCCATAACTGATGAACCAAGCTCATGAACTTTAAACATCACCTGCTGTAAGCACAGACCTTGAGAAACACCACACATGAAGCACGCTATTGTAGCCTAGTGCTGTTAAACTATAGTGACAGCCTAAACGCACACACAAATATAGGCGAAAAAACACATGCGCACCCACACACAGACGTATACGTACAAACTGACTATACGCCCATGCATTGCTGGCTCTTCACAGGTGTGAAGCCACATCCTGTGCTTAAACACAGCTTTCCATGAGCTCAGATATGTGACATTGAGCAATCATTGTGTTTAGGCAAACACACTCACGAATAGACACTTTCATGTACAAAAGTAGTCTCTCTCACTCACACACACGTGCAAATGCTTTCATGTGTAACCGCCTTGCTCTCACACACACAATGCAGTTTTTTAAAGATTAACGTGTCGTACAGATTTATTTTTTTAGTGTCTGAAGGATGAATTTCTTCCTAGTTTTCTCCTAATACATAATATTTAAAGAAAAGGGAGGTACTACAGCTAACAATCATGTCTAATATAATCAACAGTGGTTGGTAATTGTCAGACCCTTTTCTTATGAGGTTGTTATAAATAAAAATGCTTCTAACTTAAGGCTAAATTCTAAAATGTTAAATGCTATTTTAATATTATATTTTCATCATTTTCATTAGAGGTAGTGTCCATTAATTTCAGATTTTGCTTTTTAAAGGGGTCATAAATGAATAAATGATGCATTTATATAGCGCTTTTCTTATGTACTACTGTACACCCAAAGTGCTTTACAATCAGGGGTCTCTCCTCACCCACCATCAATGTGCAGCATCCAACTGCACAACCGTGCCAATTGAAAGGATGCTGAATATTAGGAGACCATGATTGATAAGGGCTGAGAGAGGGAATTTGACCAAGACACCAGGGTTACACCCCTACTGTTTACGAGAAGTGCCACAGGATTTTAAATGACCACAGAGTGTCAGGACCTCGGTTTAACGTCTCATCCGAAGGACGGACCACAGGTCATGGCATGAGAAATCACATTTGCCTTGATGTTTTGACATATAAGAGGTCTTTGTAACATTAAAACATCTTCCAAGTTTAATATCTTAAAACGCCCTCATTATAAACAAAGCATTTATTTAATCAAGCTTCAAAAACGGCTAGTTTTGATATTGCTTGATCTGTGAAGTACATTTGCATATGACTGCCTCCAGAGCAAGACATTGACGAATCATCACACCATCATCGCCCGCCCACTGGTATTTAGTCGCTTAATGGCTTACATTTGCCTACACTGGATGTGAGCGTCGTATTGCGTCACGTCAAATGCAAATAGTACCCACTATAATCACTGACACAGTCTACACTGATACAGTATACAAATATACTATATATAGCTCCAAAAGTGCTTAATCCAGCGAAAATAAGCATTTACGACTGAAGAACCTCTCCTTAACACAAATGTTCCATCCTAGCTTCCCTTCCAGTAATCTGGCAGCAGACTTAAACTATGACACAATCCTTTCTGTAGCTGTCGGACTCATATCAGCCTTACATTTGGCACACAATGGCTCCCACTGTACCGGCACATGACTCATGAGAGGGTTACAGTGAGCACAAAGCTTATACATTATCTCAGCACCCTGTCTCTGACTTTCTAATGCTCATTCTCTGTCATTCCCCTTTTCTCACTCTCGTTCCTCTCCACCTCTCAGAAGACTGACCAGCTGTGCAGTTAGCAGTGTAGACACAGAGCAGTTCCAGGGCTGAAGTCATGGTGAGGTCGTCCAGCAGGAACCAGGGCCACAGGGCCAACAGCACCGCTGCCAGACGCAGCTCTGTAGCCACAGTCTGAGAGGAGAAAATGATTCATTCATTAATCAAATGAGACGACATTTGTCGTAATCAGTCAATATTGGATATTTAATTGTTCATGCTAATTTATAACATTTACATTACCTTTGCTGACAGCTAACACTCACTAAATCTTTAAAATCACTAAAAAGCCTGTTAAATGTAATCTAGTAAAACCCAAAATTAATTTGATTTGTAAATGAATTCATATGCTATTACACACAAAAAGTCACGTTTTGTATTTAAATGGGCAAATGCTTAAAGGTGCTATATGTAGGGGTGTGCCGGTTTCAGAATTGGTGATGACGGTTATGACGGGAGTCAAATGTGACGGTTCATAACATAACCGGGGGGGGGGGGGGGTTGGGGGGCGGGGTTGAATAACTGTTCATCTGTTATAGGACAACTTAGTTTGAATAAACAAGCAGACACTGATTAGCTACTGGCCTTACGTTTATTTAACATGAACAGCAAGACAACTAGAAGTGAATGTGCTTTCCATTAAATGTATCACACAGTAAACAAATCCTTAACTAACAAAACAAACAAACGTTGCAATGAACGTGCTTTTTTTTTAATAAGTCACACACAGTAACAAAACCTTAACGAAAAAACTTTGGAATGAACTTTGCAATTTAGACGCGCAAACTGCGTGCCGGTGCGGTGAGACGTGCATGCTCGGGCAGATTCGGCTTGAAGGCTATGATTCGGACGCGGCGCCGCGCGCGCTGTTACAAAAAAAAGCCGTGCACACAGCCCATAGATATAAACACACAGCCAAGCCAAATGGGGTCTTGCCGGTCTTGCGCACCGAACGCGTCATTTTTGCCGCACGCATTTTCGCGATCGTGCGGACGCGTCGAGTATAAACAAGGCTTTACTCCGTGTCAGCGCGCGCTCTGATCGGTAAAGGTGCACAGACCTCTCCCAAATCATCTCCAGCAGTAGCAGCCTCCGTTTCCCTCTTAAGCTGATATTAGTATTTCAACATTCTCTATGATAAAAAATGTTTGTAAAAAATATTTTAATAGCATGGTTTTGGCGGTTATAGAGTTCTAATGACGGTGTTCAACTATAACCGTCGGTCTCACGGTTATATAATAACCGTCACACCCCTAGCTATATGTAACCTTTTCACTCTATTAAAGCATAAAAATACCATAATGTTTGGAGATATTTAGGAAACATGCTGAGTTCACATACTCGTTTCTCTGAAAAACACTTCTACAGCCAGTTATTTTAGTTTGAAATGTACGTTCCATGTTGGAATGTCTGTTTTTGTTTTAGTCTGTGTGATCTCGCCCACTGCCAGTTCACCCAATAGTATTTTGACACCCCGGGATGCTAGCTGGCAGGAAACACAGCGTATTGTAGCAAGCAAACAAACTGGGTCAGAGATTGCAGATTCTACCCAACCTAAAAAGCCTCGGTATCCATCTAAAAATCTCTATGAACGAAAGCTTATTAAAACACTGATAAATCAACTCATCAACTTTCAGTGTGTAAGTCTCCTCGGCTTTTATTGTCAATTGCGCTCGTTCCTGTTGCGTGTCCTTAAACTGGCAACCTACGTGAGCGTCGAGTCTGAGGAGGAGGGGACGGGGGAAACAACGATCTCCGATATTTTGAATTTAGACTGCAGTACCCATTTCAACCACTAGCTATCATTCTTACAGACTGCACCTTTAAGAGTATGATTCAATCTTAACTGCAGTTATTATTATGTTTCTATAGCATGTTATATGTTTGGCAACAGTTCTTCAAATCAAATTGATGGAGTGTGTAGCTTTTCATTTCCTAAACAACCATGTAAGACATATCATGGCCATATTCCAGGATGACAATGTCAAGATTCATCAGGCTCAAATTGTGAAAAAATTACTGGGAGGGAGCATGAAGGAGTCCAGACCTTAAATTCAGTGAAAGTCTTTGGGAATGTGCTGGAAGAGACTTCACAGAGTACTTGGCTCTTATTTGTCTATACAAGATCTTGACCCAAAATTGATGCACCTCTTGATGGAAAGAATATCACAGCATTTATTTCCATCAAGAGGTACGTCAATTTTGGGTCAAGATCTTGTATCGACAATGCAAAAGTCAAGCACTCTGGATGAAATGGAAAGTTACACACTCCATCGAACTGTTTCCAAACTGTGCACTAACAGAGCAATCGCACCAGGGTTCGTTTTAATCAAAACGAACATGTTAAGTGTGAACACACCCCTTGAGTAGAAAAAGTTCATTACAAAAGTAGAAAAATATTACTGTGTTTTTCGAACATTCATTGAAAGGCTGTAAATTAGGCTGCTTAATTGGTAAAACAGTTATCCAACAGTCTCCGGTAGATTGACTTTCCTTTGTACTTCACAGAAATGATCACGACTCATTACACGCACGCAAGCATCTTGCTAGGTGTCATGCAGGTTTTCTTGTAAAGACTGCATCTCAGTCCTTACAAGAAAATCTGCATGCAAACCCACAGTGTTTCAAACCCACAAGACCCCTTTTGAGAAAGTCTGCGGATACTGTACGATGAATGCAACTACTTAAATAATAATCACGGGGAACATTATTTGATATGACGTACTTTGCATTCATTATGTTGATACAGGCAATTTCGCAGAATCTCTAGAATCATCTTAAGTTCTCTCATGCTGTTCTCCACCTGCTGACATTGAACAAAGACAGAGCGGTTAGAACAGGAGATCATGCTGATAATGGAAATTTTGATACCATCTTATTTGTAAATGCATACATTTATGTTGCATTTTCCCTGTTTGTATTACTTATAACTCTAACACGTCATAATAAGTTAATAAATCCTAACCAAAATTGCAGTACATTACAAATTCACAGAGCACACTGTGATTTACTGAAGTTTGGCATGTTCCTGGATCAGCATCTTTTGTTATTTCTAGAAATACATTCCTTTCAACCATCATAACGCTACCTCTAAATTTAGACAGCAGTGATTATTTTATAGTATTGTCGTTCCAGGATCAACAAAGGATGTCGATCCAGGAACGTCTTACTTCAAACAAATAGATTAGTTCCCATATTTTCTAATTTAAATAATGGTAAGAGACATGATAGTAATTATTGTCTGTATTTATACATAAAAAACCCAAACAAAACAAAACGGCCAAGGTGGTTTAACAGTCCTAAGATTACAAAGAAAGTATTATAAAAAGGGCTAAATTAAATAATAATCAAATGAAAGAATTATTTGGCATAATTACCATGATTATTTCTTAAAATAAAAATATATAAAATAAAACATGCAAAAACCATAAGTTTTACATCAGAGTGTTTTAAAAAGACCATTCTGGACATCTTTGTCACTGACCCATACATGAATCAAGTTTATATACATTTTAATGGAGTTCCACCAACGATCTGCATTATATAAGCAATAATGATTGTTGATGTTATTAATGAAAGTTATTATAAGTTATAATAAAGTGGAACCATGAGGAAATCAACTGGTTAAATCAACTGAACCAAAGGATTGTTTCAGTTTTGACATTTGTCGTCACATCTGTGACAGCACTATCTCCCCCTCTACCTCCCTCATAACAGGTTTTCAGTGTTTCTGATGTTGAATCTGTCTATAATGTTGCTGGAACCCTATGTACCTTCCTCCTGTGAGTGCTCTTGCCCGTTTTCACAGACTCCAGGTGAAGCTCTGCGTAAATGTGCTTCATGCGTTCCACACAGCTGTCAATCACGCCAGCTGAAGAGGGAGAAGAGACATGCATCAGTCTATGTACTCATCCATCAGACAGTGACATCAGGCATTAAACACAAATATAATGTCACCTGGGACTAAAATGAATGTTTGAATGCCAGATTTCCTCCTAGTTGAGGTTATAGCACCTTTTTAACTGCTATGCATTAAGGGGGCCATTTTCTACACTATGTCTCATCTTTCCCACCTGAAGTTTACTTTTTATGTTAGGCAAGTAAATGCGTAGTCAAATATATTTATATATATATATATATATATATATATATATATATATATAGCGCTCTTCACTATACAGATTGTATCAAAGCTGCTTCACAGTATCAATCAAAACAACTTAACAGTGTTTGTTTATTACTGGAAAAAGACATCCAAGTTTGGTAGAGCTGATCAGTGGTATGATGGGTCATTTAATTTGAATATCCCCCGTAGCAATTTATTATACATTATAATTTTCCACCCTTTTTGACTGAATAAAACAGGATGTTTATGCTACTGTACCTTTAAAGTGCTGATTACCGAATATGCATTAATATGTAAATGTAGGCAAACATATGCAAATGTTATGACATCAAAACTATGATGATTTCTCTGTTAAACAAAACAGTGTGGTTTCATTTCCATAAATGGTTTGAGTGGAATGGGGAGGGAGCTTTGCATTGTGAAAACTAGCGTATGCATATAGTTCCTCATTGTGTAATTATGTGTTGAAAAACAATGAAATGATCTTTACCTTTACATGCGTAACTCTGAGCACTGGAGCTACAGGCTAACAGAGACATGAACGTTTTGGCCATCACCTTTTTGAAGGGATCCTGGAACAGAATCTTCTCATATTGCTGTAAATGAAACAATAAATAAATAAATAATTGTACAATTAAATATAAATATATATAAATGTATAAATAATTTTGGATCCTAAAAAAAAAGAATCTGGAATAGTTTAGAAAAAAAAAAATCATATTCATTATTTAAAATAAAAAAATCAACAAAGATACCTTAATATAACTCATAAAATAATTATGTTTATTATAAAATGTATTAAAAATGTATCATTTATTCTAATTATCGGGCGACCGAGTTCGAGTCCCGGCTCTGGGACTTTTCCAGATCCCGAAAAATAAATTTTTAAATATCTTTTAATTAAAATAATGCTAAATATTTTCCAGAGGAACTTTGTGTACGAGTTATATCAGGAATCATCCACAATCTCAAATAAGCAGAGTCAGACTCTATGAATAGTTTTAAATAGTTACCAATCTAAAACAACTTCTACTATGCATACAAATCCAAATCAGAACAAATTATAAAGAATACATAAATGCTTGCCATCTCCGAGAGTAAGACAGAGAAATATCATGTAGCAGCTCGTGTCGTACAAGGTTTAAATAATTTAAATAGACATATCAAATAGTAGAAAATTCTGTAGTATAGAGTTGTCAAAAAGAACCGACTTCGGTACTGAAATTTAAAAACTGTGACACTGAGCGCTGTTGAGCGGAATCTAAACACCTCTGATTGCCCATTGTACTCACATGCTCATCGGATATGTCTGTGATTGGCTACAATGATCAGCGCTTCAAAAACAATATACATCAGTTAACTTAGCTAACAGCTAAATATACATCAGTGACGCTTTTCACAGAGCGCTTACACAGATACAGACAGGAGCGTTTGAATGCAGGCGTCTATCAGCAGAGCGTTTCGCTAATAGTGCTCTCAAACGCTCCCGCTTCAAAACACTTTCAAACACTTCCGTGTGTTGATCATTGTAGCCACTCATAGACGTATCCGATGAGCAAGTGAACACAATGGCCAATCAGAGGTGTTTACGATTCCACTTAAAATTTCAGTACCGACTTGGTACCGAATTCAGTCCTTTTTGACAACTCTAATGTAGTATTTTAGTTGATGTTACTCTTGCCAAGCTCTGATTTCTGAGACGCACTGAGACGGCAGCTTGATTTGTGCTCATGAGTTTACACTCATTCATTTCACACACTCATTATATTGTGTAGTGATGTATATAGCTATAATAAATATAAAATAATTATATAGCTATAATATCATACTATCCCCTGGCTCACCTGCTATCCAGCAAACTTGAGGAGTGACTAATATTTTTTCTATTATTCGGCAGAATTCGTTATTCGTTTCAAAGACATTATCCATTCTTTTGAGGAAAAGGTATTCAGCTTCGGGCACATCCCTAATACATACACACCTTTTTCAATCAGATTTGAGAACATAAATACATTTTCCCTTAAAAACATGAAAAACCATAAATAGACATTACAATTGCACTTGTCACATGTTTTATCATATTTCATATTGCCATTTTGGTAAAGTGCTTGCCAATTTTGTGCGCGAAACTTGTCTATGAACAGCCAACGGAAGGTGTATCTGCGACCATTCACAACCTAAACTAAATCGGTTACCTCTAATAATAGTTCACACATGACCTCTCCAGGCTCAAAAGACAGGACCGCTGTTAGTGAGGAGCTTGGGCCCTTGCTGGTCAGATCCTCAGTGTGGCCTCCCGATCTCCTCTTAGCCTCCTCTGTGAACAACACACACAGAAAGTGCAGGGTCGACGTGTAGAGAGAAGACTCTGCGCCCGATTGGTTCAAACACACTCGGATGGTATCTGTCACAAGAGAGGGCAAAGACTAAGCATAAAGAATGCTAATATTTCGTTTTCAGAGCTTTTCTCGAACTCCAACTTCGAGACAAGAAGATGCAAAATATACAAAACTTCACAACAAACAATCTTCACCACAAGGGAACATCTGATGTAAAGTCTCTCCAAACTCGCAGGCTTTTAAAAAGGGCTTCCAAAGCTTGGATACCTGCAGGCAAGTCAGCGAGTCTACTGCCCACCCACCTGTTTTAGGATTTTCTACCACATCCATCAGATCTAAAGCAGGCTGATTGTTCTTCCTGTCTCTGTCCCAGTCTGTCATATGCAGCAGGGACACCCATCCACATATACAAGCATAATGAGCTGGCCTCCCACTGCATCTGTCTCCATCTCCTCATCTGTCTCCTTCATTCTCAACATCTATCCAGCCCATCCTCTTCCATCTAAACTCCTCAATCTTTCTTTCCCCTCCGTCCCTATGCACTTTCATCAGGCTTGCCACCATTTTTTCTTTGTACTCTTCTGCCTTCCCTCTCCATTTGCCTGTCTCTACCCTTTGTAACACACTTCGGTTTGTGTGTGTGTGTGTGTGTGTCACCTGAAAAGCACTGCCAGTGTTTCCCCAGTGCCACACCGACAGATGGGCCGACCGCAGCTTGGTTCCTGCGCAGCAGAGTAGCCAGGAGCATCAACACATCCGCCCAGGTGTTGAGCACTGCACCCTGGGCCTGCGCATCTAAGGACCAAAACAACCACACACTCATCTAAAAACAATTTTCTTTCATTTGAAGGTCTTGTTTGGAAGGTTTTGGATTTGCTGAGGACGTTTTGTGTTACCCAAGTCAGCGACAGACAGCGTGAGGATGGAAATTAGGTTGTTCAGCAGGGGTTTGAAGAGCTCTCGGTGGAACGGCGCATCCTCACTGTGCATTGCTGCTGACTGCAGGAGCTTACACAAACTTTGCACATAATACAAGCTACTCAGCACCTGAGGGAGAAACAAGGGGGTGATGGGAGGGAAAGAGAGAGTCAGTGGTAACGAGCGCCGAGTTACCTGTGAAAAAAACACAAATGCAGCACTTTGGTTTCACAACCCTAAACGACAACAAATAGCCGACTAATTGGCACTGAGTGGAACTGAACCAGCAACCATGATGCCCTTGTATTGCACTTGAGGTAGAATAGCATTTTTCTAGTATGAGTGTGTGTACTTAAATTAAAAAGGTTATAATGGGCGTAAAGGGTTAGTTCACCCAAAACATTTCTGTCATCATTTACCCTCATAATGTTGTTCCAACCCCATAAGACTTTGGTTAATCTTCAAAACACAAATTAAGATATTTTAATGAAACCTGACAAGTTTATGCCCTTCCATTGAAAGTCAAGGTAATCAAAACTTAGAGGATCTAAAAAGGTCATAAAAGCTCTATGAATAGAACAGTTTAATCTAATTCTTGTGAAGAGATTTAATCGCTTTAAAAAACAGATTTAATTTAGGCTTTTTTTTATGTGCATCTTAATGAGACACGCATACATAAAGCACATCAAACCTGGTAAACACAGAAGCTCAAACGTTCGTGCTTGATGCACGAGAACCAATGAAGTTTGTTCTAGCACGTGACACGCATGTGTTTGTGTGAATAAAAGCCTAAATTAAATTGTCTTTATGACCTTTTTGGAAATAACAGAATTTTCCTTTTTTGATATACTATCCCTTTAAGCACAAGTGTGTGTGTGTGTGTGTGTGTGTGTGTGTGTGTGTGTGTGTGTGTGTGTGTGTGTGTGTGTGTGTGTGTGTGTGTGTGTGTGTGTGTGTGTGTGTGTGTGTGTGTGTGTGTGTTAGCAGCTCCGATTACCTCACGCAGACAAGCACTAGAATGTCAGAAACTGTTCAGCCTTTTATGTTTAAACTGGAGTCGGACAATGATGGAGAGACTCAAGAAGAAGTGACAACATGTAGAATGCAACAGGACGTTTCTGAATGGTTAGTTGATGAATTTATGTTGCTGATGTGGAGTTAACTATCTTCAATTAGCATATTCTGTCATGATAATCTATAAATCGCTAGTGTGGGAACCAGTGATGTGCGGGTTGATCCAAAATGAGCGGGTGCCGACGGTCACCCGCGGTTACGAGTCATCCAAAAATATTTTTAATGATATTCGGGTCGCGGTCGGTCAGGTCGTTTGAAATAAAGATGTCAATTAAACCTTTGTATTTATATAGACACAATTTTCTATGAAATACATAGGCCTACACTTTATTGGCTAAATAACTGGCACGAAGATGACGCACGAGCTCAGTCTGCAGGTAGAGATGGAGGCGGAGAGAGGAAATATTTGTAGCTGTAACAATATGCGATATGAAACCGAAATCACGACGCTCAGATCCACGAACCTAAAGAATCGCCACACACCCCTTCCAACTCCAAGAGTTATCCTTCCCGTCCAGATCCAATGCTAACACATCTTTAAATTATATATTACTTTAAATTTTGAAGTTAACATTATAAAATACGTAGACCAACACAACAAAACTAGTTGGGGATAAATTTTTCAAAATTGGAGAATTCCAGCGTTTTGGACGTGACATTTGCAGTCAAAACTTGAAATAGGCCTATAAATTCTCAGAAAATGCATTTAATAGGCTACCAATATATTGAAACGTCTGTTTATCCATACCCCCTTAAAGGAGTCCAGACATTAGAAACATATCAGTCTACACATGCGTTTTATATTTATATGAGGGAAATAGGCTACACACGCATTCATGCGTGACAAAACAAATATTAGGCTACACACGCATTCATGCGTGACAAAACAAATATTTAACTTTTAGGAGGCAAAATATTTTTTTTGAAATTCTGTGAATTACACTGCGCAAATAAAAATTAATACTACCCACCGGATGAAGAAGGGTTGGCTCTCCACAGAACGTAAAATATTCATTTTATTTTATTTTTCGTGTTCGCATTTATGAGGAAAAAACAATGTAAGGACGTGACCGCTCTGAAGCGGCACTAAAAGACTGTTTTAAAACTTTCACAGAGACCTCAAACAGAAGACACAAAGCCTTTCTTTAAAGTGAATTGCGATTTGTACTAATTGTATCTTATTTTTAATCAATGTTTCATCAACCAACTGCCTGGATTTAATAAATAAGAAGTAAATATAGCAGACAAGATAATCATGACGGAGGCACCGGCGCGTGAACTGGAGCGCGTCTCATAAATTAACGGAAACTCAGCGTATAAGGTAGCCTACTTCACAGACCTGAAAAATATATCTATATTGAAATGTCTACTTGTAAACAGAACAATTCAAAACGAAAGAAAACGGACTGCTCTCTGCTTATCTGTATGAAATGTGCATTTCTCTCTGGCGCATTCACTACTGCGAAGATTGCGAGTCAGCAACGTCAACTTCATGTTTATTAATAAACAATTAGCCTACTTCTTGCGATGCTATTTACACATTTGTGTTACACGTCTAATGGCCCAATGACGCTACGATGATCATTTACTACTTTTAAATAATGCGTGTCAGGAAACGGGTCGGGTACAATATTTTCTTTCTTTTTTTTTGCGGTCCGAGTTGCGGGCGGGTTAGTTGAACACGTTGGTCGGGTGCGGGTTGTTTATACATTGACCCGCGCATCACTGGTGGGAACTGTTGTAAGATGCCTACAGTGACATGCTATTGCATTTGAGTTAGGTACTGTATTTATTTATTTGTTTGTTTATATATCTATTCATCTATTTAGACTGGGAAAAAACCCTGTGAGCTCAGCTGCATGACTTTCCTGTTGGTTTTGTGCTAAAGACCAATTCACACTGCGCCAACAGAAGCAGACCAACGCCAACAGTCAGCAGATTACAGCACGTCACTTCTCAGACATTTTAATTCCGATTCAGCATGTTCATTCGGCGAAAGACAGACGGCAACAGACTCTGACAGGTACCACACTGATCCGACAAAACCTGATGAAGTGCCTGTTGCCATCTGTTGGGGCGGTGTGAATTGACCTTAACAGTACTACATTGTTAGTTAAAAGTATTCATCAAATAAAAAAATAAAAAAACAGGCATGTTGTGGAGGACGTATAAAAGTTTGTAAATGTGTTTGTGTTCCAATTTTGTGGAAATTTTCCGAGCTTTCAGTGGCGCTCTGCAGGCGCACATTCCCTTATGACAGATTGGTGTTTAAGTGGAGGTAGAAAATCCCATAATGCACCTGGTTCCTAGCATCTTCCATAGCAGCTGGCAGAAGAGGTGTCCTTAACTCACTGACACATTGAGATATGGTCGCCGCATCCACCACACTGAAACAGACAGCACAAAACCAACAGGAAAGTCATGCAACTGAGCTCACAGGGTTTTCTCCCAGTCTAAATAGATATATAAACAAACAAATAAATAAATAAATGGAATCTAACTTAAAACATGTTTTGTATCCCTTTTTTGTTTTTTGTTTACATTTTACGTGGGTCTTTCTGTTAGCCAACAGAGAAAACCACCACAATTTGGCATTTAGTAAGAGCGGGCAGATAAAGGCAGGCAGGATGTGGTTTTGTTAAAGTGTTGTTAGGTAAACCATGAGAATAAAGTTATACTTAATTATGAGTGTGCGTGAAAATGAGGTAAGAGGTGAGCACATCATTGTTATTTTAGTTTTATTAATGTTTTGAATTCGCATTTTTTAACATATATTTTTTGTTTTCATGTTCATTTTAGTTTCATTTTTAGTAATTTTGTTATGTGCTGCTTTTACACTGCTATTAAGGTTTAATTTAATTAGATTTCAGTTTTAGTTCATTTTAGTTTTTATTTATTTCCAGTTAATAATTTTAGTGCTTCAACGTAAACTGTAAATTTCAGTTTATTGCCAAAGCAACATTTCTAATTTTTGTTTTTCAACTACTATTTAGGTAGCACTTTATTTTACAGTCCTGTTCCCCATGTACATACTATGTGCTTATTATAGTAATTGCAATAACTGGGTAATAACTAGGTACTAACCCTGAACCTACACTGGATAATAACTAGGGACTAACCCTGAACCTACACATCAACCTTACCTTATATTACCCAGTATGTTCTGTAAGTACACTGTAAATGCATGTACTGAAAAATGAAGTGCAACTAATATTTATATCTTGTTTTATTTCAGCTTTATTTCAATAAACAGAAAGCTTTTAATAGTTTTAGTTAATGACAATAACCCTGGTGCACAGGTCTGCATTATGTCATACATGTGCAATGCGTGTCTGTGATTAACTGCTAATATTATCTATATTTTTTTAGTAAACATTATATAAGTGAAAATAAAGTCAATAATTTTACTGTTCTGTAGAGCTGCTTTTAATAGTTTTCCTGTCTATTACTGTAAAGCTGCTTTGAAACAATGCATATATAAATAAAGGTGACTTGACTAATAAAGCGTTAGTATAATGATTATATATAAATAATGCCAGATTTCTGCACAATATCTGTTTGTCTTCACATGTCTCTCTAACCTGGCCATGCTCTGAAGTATGTGGTTGTGCTTGAGGGCAGAGAGACTAAACTCAGGAAGCACAGCCAGCAGGTTGTCCAGTAGACCGCACACGGATAGCAACAGGTGAGGGGTTACTATAGCAACAGGCTCAGTCCTTCCCCCTGGGTGGGACTCTTGAGTGAGGGCGGAGTCTGAGCTGTCCGTGTCACTCTGACCTACAACACAAAGAATTAACAGCAGAAAGACTCAAATCACTAAAGACTGAAAGAAACATTCCTCTCAAGACCAAACTGTCAGTTAGTAAAATTTCCCCTCCCCCCTAAAAAAAGTCATACCCTGAGCAGTGAGTCTGTTAACTGGAGTGTCCTGGATTCCAGCAACACCTGAGGTTGGAACTGGAGAATGTGTCCCACTAGAGCTTCCTGATGGAATCTGAAGAACACAAACCGGCATCATAACAACTTGAAAACAGTTATGAATATAATATAATATAGTGATCAGGATATTAAATTATATATATATATATATATATAAACTAATAATAACTAGCCTATATTATTTTACATTACATTAGAACACAATATATTCCATTAAATACACTACTGCTCAAAAGTTTTGGTGGGTAGGTACAATTTTCTAATTTTTTTGAAAGTCTCTTATGATCACAAAGGCAGCATTTATTTATTAAAAAATTAAAACAGTAATATACTGAAATATTATTACAGTTTAACATAACTGTTTTCTATTTATTATTATATTTGAAAATCAAATTTAGTTTTATATTTTAAAAAAGTAATTTATTCCTGCGATGGCAAAGCTGGATTTACAGCATCATTACTCGTCTTCAGTGTCACATGATCCTTCAAAAATCATTCTAATATGCTGATTTGCTGCTCAAGAAACATTTCTTATAATCAATTTTGAAAAACAGTTGTGCAGCTTAATATTTTGTGTAACCTAATTATTTTTTTTCAGGATGCTTTGATGAATAGAAAGTACAACAAAACCGCATTTATTTGAGAAAGAAATCTTAAGATAATTAATATATTTACTGTCACTGTTGATATTAAATGCGTCCTTGTGAATAAAAGTATTAATTTCTTTCAAAAAGGAAATCTGACTGACCCCAAACTCAGTAGTGTATAATATATGGACATTAAATCAGCCTTCCTGTCATCCTGTTCAGGATATTCACTAGAAAAAGAAAAAAAACATTGGTCAACCACAAATGAAATGGTCTACTAACCAGAGTACTGGAGGTGGACATGGATCCTGAGCCTTGAGTTTGGTTTAGAGGAGCAAGCATCTCTCTCCAGTGCTTTAGAGAATCATTCAGATCTGTCTCTACACGAACAGAAAGAAACACAGACCGCTTCATTTACAAATAAAACAGTCATATTTACAACTAAATTATATGCACTGGAATAATTACCTCTAACAGCGTACTAACATGAACATTTTGTTATAACAAGAATGATAAATATAAACACCATCATCTAAAATATGTGGCACACCCGCCATGATCTCTAGTACAGAACAGTATTAATAAAGTGTGTAAGCATATGGATGCCAAAGAGTCAGACATCCACTAATAGCTGGCAGTGCTCTGGGCGCGTGGACGCCGTACCCTGGGTGACATTGGCTGGCGGAGGAGAGGGGCTGAGGGTGAAGGCATGTCTGCCCATGTAACAGCTCTTCACCATCTGGCCCACGCTTTCAAAAAACTGGCAGTGGTACAACAGAGCCTGCAGGGCAGGAAGCCCGACCAGACACAGTCCTGAATCCTCATCATGCACGCAGGGGCTCTGGGAGACACAAGAAAGGGACACAAGATAAAATGTTAAAAAAAGGGGGAAATTTAATACTGAGGAAACCAGAAATCACCATAGACAGATTTGTTATGTCTACAGAGCTTTTAAGACCGGCTGTGATATTGATATTCAGTTCTGAAAGTTTATTCTCATGTAAACATACCTGCCAGGCACACTCTTTGGCCTCTTCTGCATTAGCAGGCATTGGCATCACAAGGAGGTTTTGCAAAATAAACGCTGCCTATAGGGAAGGGAAACATAAAAGTCAGAAACACTGCCATCTTCTTGCAAATGAATGGAAATGCATGCTGGTTGAATTCTCAGTGGAATCGCAGAGAGCAAGCAAATTCCTTCAAAAGAGAGAAATGCAAACACTTTCCTTTTAAACTGTGACTGAGGAATAGTTAAGATTCTTTTCTGTGCAGTGCCACCATGTATATATGGGTTTAACCTCCCCCTCCCGGTCAAATACGCCTAGTTCGAAACCTGTACTAATAAAGAGACATTCAGAAATAGATCACAGATGTGAAATAACATGACTTCCGGAGCCTTTCTGACTTGCGACTAAGTCTAATCATCATTGCAGCTTATTCTAACGAAGAACCGCCCACTTATACAGGAAGTGGCCGTCTGATTGATTTGTAAAGCTAGTAAGCACACTTTATTACACAGCTCTCTGAAATGCTTGATTCTGATTGGTCAGGCGTGACATTCCCCAATAACTGGGTATCTGCAGGGTGTGTCAAATAGGGCGGGAGCCGAGAGCCGTGTAAAATTTTGTTGCATGTTCCCAGCTCGTTCTTCCCTAAACTTGAACTCATATTATAATGGGGGGGGGGGGGGGGGGGGGGTCCCTTGACATGAAATGTTCCCTTTCTGAGGTTTTTTAACATTAATATGAGTTCCCCCAGTCTGTATATGGTCCCCCGCGGCTAGAAATTTCAATCGGTGTAAACCGAGCTTTGGCTATCTTTCTCCGCCTTTGAGAAAATGAAAGGCCAGACGCGCAGATCTTGAATCTCCTCCGTATGACGTCATACGGAGGAAAGGTAACCTCCCCTTTCTCTGCTTTGCCCGCCCAGAGAATTTGGCTCGCCCATGAGAAAATGAGCTAGGAAGTATGAACGCGCGAGCGCGATTTGAGTTTTTCCTCGAGAGATATCTTGGCTTGCAAACGAGCGAAGCATGGCAGTTGATCAGTGTTCGGATGTACAAATGAACACAAAAGTATTTTTTAGTTCCTTCATCCGAGCCTCTGAAGAAACGATGGGTTAATTTTATTTTCTCTAGAAATGCGCCGACACAACTTCCCAAAGTTTTGTATGGTCCAAACATTTCACCGACGACTGTTTCCTCAACTTGGGCCAATACAGAGCTGGCCTCGATGAACGTCTGAAAATAAATCGATCGGGCTACCAAGCAACAATTTCTGATGTGTAAGTTAGCCTAATTGTTCAAGTTCAGACAGGTAATCTTTCTCTCAAAATCGTTCAATACTGTTTATGCATCAGTAAGTCAAGCCAGTGACTAAAATATCAACTTCACATCGTTTCTTTTAGTAGGATGAAAATAATCGTATTTAAATTGTGAACAAATAATACAGAAAGCGTTCAAAGAACAATCTTCCACACAGCGCGAGTTTATCTGGACAACTCGTTATGAAATCAATGACGCACGTTACACTGCACAACAAAGCTCTTACTGTATGTACATCATCGTGTTTGCATTGGTGAAAGCATTAGAGAGAGAGCAGAAACTGCGTTGCAATGATAAGATCTTCATTCTCGCGATCAACAGACTGTCATCTGCTTGCTCAATGCTCATCACGGCAACATTTTATGTACATTCATACTAACATTATAAGGGCAACCCAGGAAACATTATAAAATAACCCCATGTCAGGGGACCTTTAAACTGCGTCTGATAGAAGAGTCAACAGCTTTCACGCATGTCTTTCAAAATAAATGTCTCAATTCAGAAGTCTTGCGACCCACAAGTTGAGAAACACTGTCCTAAACCAAAGTTTTGACAAAAACAAGTTTTATAAAATTATAAACCTAACATTTCAGCCTTACATTCCAGTGTAAGCTGTGTAAAAATATGGGTCAATCTTCACATTGGACTCTGAACAAAAACAGCAGATGCTTTGAATGAAAATGCAAATTCACTCTTTGACAGATGGCCCTTATAGAGCAGTAAAAATGTAACTGTTACCCCTGTTAACAAAGCAGAACTGCTCTTATAAACACTACTTTATTAGGCATTATACGGATAAGATAATGCCATCAAAACTTCCCTCACTGAAATGCAAAGAGTCTGCAGGTTTGACAAACACCAAAAAGTAAACATTGTCTAATACATCCGAATATTAGAGGCCGGCGCTTCTTTCATGTCTCTAGTATCACACCACAGATGTGCTCTCTCTCGTTTCATTTCAACGCTTCTGGTGCCATCTTGCACCTCAGTTATAGAGTATCGACTGTATTTACTGTAAAATGAAACCAGAGGACTTCTGTACTAATAGTAGGCCAACGGTAATATTGTTGAAGCGATCTTCTTGTGATTGTTTTGCACACTGTAAAATCTTACCGGTTTATTATCTTATAATCCATTAAAGCAGTTTCTTCTCAAATCAATATTTCATGTCCCTGTCATCATTTATATGGTGAAAAGCTATATAATAAGTGGCATGACTGTACATTATCCCTTAAATGTCCATTTTGTTTGAACTTGTTCATTCATCTAGGCTCAAATCTGCTTGATAAGAAATGGTTTTCTTCGAGGAAGCTTTGCATTTAATGAGGCGAGCTAATAAAATATTTCAACTCAAATCAATATTTCATGTCTACTTATTCACTTATGAGTCAAGCAGCTGTGTAATAAGCGAGATAATGTACATCCAGTTGGTTGTAATAGCAAATTAAACCCTGACATGGTGATCAGGACACAAAGCGGAGTAACAACCGGCTGGATTTACATTAGCCCTTACTAATTTCATTATATGTGACCTAGGGCAGGTTTATCTGGAATAAATTGTACCACAAAGAAAAATTTGCCTGTCAGTTTTAAACTGGTGATTTCAACCAACACTCTCTGGAGTCTAATATGCATCAGATGGCCAGTGAACGGACAGAGTGCTGGTCCCTAGACTTTCAGTCTGAGGCAGTCTGGGTAAACACTCAGTTTTTTGTGTTGTGTTCAAGCTGAAGCTGGATGGACTCACCTCTCGGCGCACCATACTGCACTCCTGTCTCTCCAGCAGGATGTTGAGTACCGTGGCCCACAGGCCGCCTGAAATGTTCTGGCAACTCTCTGACAGCGCCACACACCCTCTCTCTAGCGAACTCAGAGCCGCACCCACAGCCAGGCTGGCACAGCGCACCTAGAGCCAGACAAATGCACACACACACACACACACACACTTGTGCTCAGACCCTGCACATGTGCTTGGCAGTGCTAACTGCCATGGGCTCTTTGGCGTGTAGCACTGGCACAAATTTGTGTTTACCATGCCCATTATATTTTCAGTGCTCAGCATCTGCTGATCTGAGGGAGGCCTGGACATGCACGGGTACTTGGGAAAACTATCAAAAATAGAAGGCCAAGGCACACAAATTGCTAGATAAGGTTTTCATCAAAATTACAGACACATTTAATAATTTTACATAGACTATGATTGCATTCAGCGCCAATGTACAGTGAATGTACATCTTTTAACACAACTCAGGAGAAAAACTTTAAGTTTAAGAAAATCTGTGGGTAGCTGACTCAACTTTCATGTATTTCATGTCCATGGACTTTTGTCAAAATAATAATATTTATATAAATGTATATGGGAAAATATATCATGTTCTTTAACTGGTAGTGTTGTTTATTGAATTTAAATTATGCTGTCATAGAAATTTGCCTTGGCAACTAACTGAAATAAGCTTAAGTTATGGTACCAAAATTACTAATACTAAAACGGAAATAAAAATAAATTAAAGCTAAATAGAAATTAAGAATGACAAAAGCACATACAATTACTAAAATGAAAAATGAAAATATAAAACTAAGCTAATTCAAAATGTGAATAAATAGAAAAAAAAATACAAAATAATACAAAAAAGTTAACTTCCCCATTAGTTCATTTTAAATGGTCCTAGGGTGTAAAAAAATAAAAATAATCAATGTAGTCTCTCAATTAACATGTACAGGAAAGCTGCATTCATAATGAGAATAAATTAATTAGCAAAAACTGCTTAAAACAGTTTTAGATTAAACTTAGCATGTAAGTTGTACATGCTACACAGGAGATGTAAACTTCAAAAAAGTATTTCATGTCAACTATTCAAAACAATAGTTCATGTTGAGTACCTACTGTATGTCCCAATGTTTATTTTAGACGTGAAGGTCTCACCTCAGGGTCTCGGTCCACCCACAGGGGAATTAACCAGGCCAAGCCAAGCTGGGCAGCACTCTGCTCATCAGAACTTTGCTCACGTCCCAAAGACCACAAGGATATCCAGTCCTTAGACAACACACAAAGCGTGGAGCGTAAAACTGCTGTACTAATGTAACCGATACTTAATTGGTAGTATAACGATCAAACTTAGCATTAAAGGGATAGTTCACCCAAAAATGAAAATTGATAATTTGAACATATTTTGAACATTTTGAAAATGAACATAAAAGAGGAGATATTTTGAAGAATTTGGTTACCAACATTCTTCAAAATATCTTCTTTTATGTTCATCAGAAGAAAGAAACTTGTACTGATTTGGAACAACATGAGGGGGAGTAAATGATGACAGAATTTTCATTTTTGGGTGAACTATCCCTTTAAACAGGTTTCTAGTGATAAACCAATATAATCGACCAATATCATGTTCACTAAATTGATTAGAAGAAGTGTTAGCACCCCCTTGTGTCAGTTTCAAAGCCTTATGATATCATTTCTGACCTCGTTTTTGGTTTCTTTCATCATCTCATGTGACAGGTGAAGCAGGCAGATAACAGCATTTTTTGTCACTCCTTTGCCCATGAAGGACATTGAATTTCCTCCCAAATCTACGTAGAATGAAGAGATGACCTGGGAAGAGCAGTCAAATAGGAACACGATCATAATTAGCTGTCTGGGAGACGAATAGGTATCATTTGTGCTTGAATTACATATTTTCATTTGCTATTTTTTTTACAAAACCACCTAGATATCAAGGTATATTCATAATGCCAAACAGTTGATGGACCCCGTTGACTTCCATAGTATTTTTTTTTTTTCCTACTATGGAAGTCAATGGGGTCCATCAACTGTCTGGTTACAGACATTCTTCAAAATATCTTCCTTTGTGTTTAGCAGAAGAAAGAAATTCATACAGGTTTGAAACAACTTGAGCGTGAGTAAATGATGACAGAATTCTCATTTTTAAGTGAACTATTCCTAGTTTAATTAGGTTATAGAGCAATATTGATGCAAAAAAAAATGAGATACAGCTGAGACTCGGCTGATTTGTATGAAGTGATTCATGCTCAAGTGTTTGGGAACATCTTGGACCCTACGTGTGAGTATGCGTTTAATGTGTTCTGTCTGGATGAGAGAAACAAGAACCTTGTATATAATCTGCGCAAAATATATTTTAGTGTGTAACCGAGGCACTTGAGAACATGTGTGTATGCATACTTCCAAGAGGCCACTGAGGTATTTGAGGCAGAGTGTGTTTGGCTCCATGCTGGGTGCGTGTGTGCTCCAGCCGGGCAGGGCGGTCACATGGGCCATGGTCCTGAGCGTGCGCTCAAGAGAGGGCAGGCCGTAGAAGCATGGAGCGTCGGACACGCGCAGGCACTGTAGCAGGCGCAGAGACAGCTCAGAAGCAAACGGTCCGGACAGAACCCCACACACCCTTCAAAGTAGACGAAAAATGCAAAGTGAGGAACAGAGTGATCATAATACAACCCCAAATCAAGAAAAGTTGGGAAATCAAATCAAGAAAAACCCCAATTAAGAATCTGTAATTTGTTCATTCTCTTTCAACCTTAACTGACAAAAGTGCAAAGATTGTCAGTGTTTTTACTGAACAACTTAATTGTATTTTGTAAATATAAACAAATTTTGATTTTGGTGGCTGATACACACTCCCAAAAAAAATTTCTGTTGCGTTGTGGCTTGATTCCATTGTGTTGTGGCTTGATCTGGTGTGTTGTGGCTTGATTCCTTTGTGTTGCGACATGATCATTTGTGTTGTGGCTTGATCCGTTGTGTTGCGGCTTGATCATTTGTGTTTTGGTTTGTTTCGTTGTTTTGTGGCTTGATTCCATTGTGTTGTGGCTTGATTCCGTTGTGTTGTGGCTTGATCCGTTGTGTTGTGGCTTGATCATTTGTGTTTTGGTTTGTTTCGTTGTGTTGTGGCTTGATTCCATTGTGTTGTGGCTTGATCCGTTGTGTTGTGGCTTGATCCGTTGTGTTGTGGCTTGATCATTTGTGTTTTGGTTTGTTTCGTTGTGTTGTGGCTTGATTCCATTGTGTTGTGGCTTGATCCGTTGTGTTGTGGCTTGATCATTTGTGTTTTGGTTTGTTTCGTTGTGTTGTGGCTTGATTCCATTGTGTTGTGGCTTGATCCGTTGTGTTGCGGCTTGATCCGTTGTGTTGTGGCTTGATTCCGTTATGTTGTGGCTTGATCCGTTGTGTTGTGGCTTGATCATTTGTGTTTTGGTTTGTTTCGTTGTGTTGTGGCTTGATTCCATTGTGTTGTGGCTTGATTCCATTGTGTTGTGGCTTGATCCGGTGTGTTGCGACATGATCATTTGTGTTGTGGTTTGTTTCGTTGTGTTGTGGCTTGATCCGGTGTGTTGCGGCTTGATTCTGTTATGTTGTGGCTTGATCCGGTGTGTTGTGGCTTGATTCCGTTACGTTGTAGCTTGATCTGTTGCGGTTTGACTTGATCCGTTGTGTTCTGGTTTGATTATGTTGTGTTGTGGCTTGATCCGGTGTGTTGTGGTTTGTTTCGTTGTGTTGTGGCTTGATCCGTTGTGTTCTGTTTTGATTATGTTGTGTTGTGGCTTGATTCCGTTGTGTTGTGGTTTGTTTCGTTGTGTTGTGGCTTGATTCCATTGTGTTGTGGCTTGATCCGGTGTGTTGTGGCTTGATTCCGTTATGTTGTGGCTTGATTCCATTGTGTTGTGGCTTGATCCGGTGTGTTGTGGCTTGATTCCATTATGTTGTGGCTTGATCCGGTGTGTTGTGGCTTGATTCTGTTATGTTGTGGCTTGATCCGGTGTGTTGTGGCTTGATCCGGTGTGTTGCGGCTTGATTCTGTTATGTTGTGGCTTGATCCGGTGTGTTGTGGCTTGATTCCGTTACGTTGTAGCTTGATCTGTTGCGGTTTGGCTTGATCCGTTGTGTTCTGGTTTGATTATGTTGTGTTGTGGCTTGTTTCCGTTGTGTTGTGGTTTGTTTCGTTGTGTTGTGGCTTGATCCGGTGTGTTGTGGCTTGATCCGGTGTGTTGTGGCTTGATCCGTTGTGTTGCGGCTTGATCTGTAGTGTTGTGGTTTGTTTCGTTGTGTTGTGGCTTGATTCCATTGTGTTGTGGCTTGATCCGTTGTGTTGCGGCTTGATCATTTGTGTTGTGGTTTGTTTCGTTGTGTTGTGGCTTGATTCCATTGTGTTGTGGCTTGATCCGGTGTGTTGCGACATGATCATTTGTGTTGTGGTTTGTTTCGTTGTGTTGTGGCTTGATCCGGTGTGTTGCGGCTTGATTCTGTTATGTTGTGGCTTGATCCGGTGTGTTGCGGCTTGATTCCGTTACGTTGTAGCTTGATCTGTTGCGGTTTGACTTGATCCGTTGTGTTCTGGTTTGATTATGTTGTGTTGTGGCTTGATCCGGTGTGTTGTGGTTTGTTTCGTTGTGTTGTGGCTTGATCCGTTGTGTTCTGTTTTGATTATGTTGTGTTGTGGCTTGATTCCGTTGTGTTGTGGTTTGTTTCGTTGTGTTGTGGCTTGATCCGTTGTGTTCTGTTTTGATTATGTTGTGTTGTGGCTTGATTCCATTGTGTTGTGGCTTGATCCGGTGTGTTGTGGCTTGATTCCGTTATGTTGTGGCTTGATTCCATTGTGTTGTGGCTTGATCCGGTGTGTTGTGGCTTGATTCCATTATGTTGTGGCTTGATCCGGTGTGTTGTGGCTTGATTCCATTATGTTGTGGCTTGATCCGGTGTGTTGTGGCTTGATCTGGTGTGTTGCGGCTTGATTCTGTTATGTTGTGGCTTGATCCGGTGTGTTGTGGCTTGATTCCGTTACGTTGTAGCTTGATCTGTTGCGGTTTGGCTTGATCCGTTGTGTTCTGGTTTGATTATGTTGTGGCTTGTTTCCGTTGTGTTGTGGTTTGTTTCGTTGTGTTGTGGCTTGATTCCATTGTGTTGTGGCTTGATCCGGTGTGTTGCGACATGATCATTTGTGTTGTGGTTTGTTTCGTTGTGTTGTGGCTTGATCCGGTGTGTTGCGGCTTGATTCTGTTATGTTGTGGCTTGATCCGGTGTGTTGCGGCTTGATTCCGTTACGTTGTAGCTTGATCTGTTGCGGTTTGGCTTGATCTGTTGCGGTTTGGCTTGATCCGTTGTGTTCTGGTTTGATTATGTTGTGTTGTGGCTTGATCCGTTGTGTTCTGGTTTGATTATGTTGTGTTGTGGCTTGTTTCCGTTGTGTTGTGGTTTGTTTCGTTGTGTTGTGGCTTGATCCGTTGTGTTCTGGTTTGATTATGTTGTGTTGTGGCTTGATTCCGTTGTGTTGTGGTTTGTTTCGTTGTGTTGTGGCTTGATTCCATTGTGTTGTGGCTTGATCCGGTGTGTTGTGGCTTGATTCCGTTATGTTGCGGCTTGATCCGTTGTGTTGCGGCTTGATCATGTGTTGTGGTTTGTTTTGTTGTGGCTTGATTCCATTGTGTTGTGGCTTGATCCGGTGTGTTGTGGCTTGATTCCGTTATGTTGCGGCTTGATCCGTTGTGTTGCGGCTTGATCATGTGTTGTGGTTTGTTTCGTTGTGTTGTGGCTTGATTCCATTGTGTTGTGGCTTGATCCGGTGTGTTGTGGCTTGATTCCATTATGTTGTGGCTTGATCCGGTGTGTTGTGGCTTGATTCCATTATGTTGTGGCATGATCCGGTGTGTTGTGGCTTGGATCCGGTGTGTTGTGGCTTGATCCGGTGTGTTGTGGCTTGATCCGTTGTGTTGTGGCTTGATCATGTGTTGTGGTTTGTTTCGTTGTGTTGTGGCTTGATTCCATTGTGTTGCGGCTTGATCCGGTGTGTTGCGACATGATCATTTGTGTTGTGGTTTGTTTCGTTGTGTTGTGGCTTGATCCGGTGTGTTGTGGCTTGATTCCGTTACGTTGTAGCTTGATCTGTTGCGGTTTGGCTTGATCCGTTGTGTTCTGGTTTGATTATGTTGTGTTGTGGCTTGTTTCCGTTGTGTTGAGGGCGGGGCTTGATTCCGCCATGTTGTCAACTTACGTTTGCGGTTTCAATTTTGTGACACTAATGGGTCACTGTTCATAAGTTTGGAGTCAATACGATTTTTTTTTTATGTAACAAGGATGCATTATATTGACCAAAAATGACAGTAAAGACATTTATAATGTAGCTTAGTAGTATGAGTAGTATCAGGGCTGGTAACCAAAAAGTTGCAGATTTTAAATGCCCTGATTGTGTTTTAATTTTAATTATCTATTAAAATGTTGCTTTTTTTATTATTAAAATAATTGATGCTTTCTATTCTTTTTGCAACATCAGACCACTCCTTTCATGTTTAAACCTATAGTATACTTTTTTCTTTTTTTTTGCAAAGAAACATATTCATGCCATTTTAAATTAAGTTTCTTGTATTATGAAGAATTACAAACTAAAACGATCATAACATAGAAGGACCATAAAAAGCACCCTGAACAAATGATACATGTTAGATTGCTGCTCATAAACTGAAAATGCATGCAGGGAAATGTCTTAGTAGATCAGATTTGCATTACAGGGCCTTGATACATCAACAACTAACAGTGGGAGTTTCCAATTTACGGATCCCTTAAGGTGTTTTCAGAAGAGTTATTCCATAAATAACAAAATTAAATCAAAAGCATCATTAGATTTGTACTTCCCCCCCAGATGGCAGGTAGAAGCAGAAGTCTCCTAATGAGGATAGTTAAACATTTTATGCATGTACAGGAGAGAGAAAAGGAAGAGTGTTTTAGGAATAACAAATCTGCCTTGTCGGTCTAAATGGTTTCAATGAGTGTGTTTTGGGGAGTAAACAGATGTGACAGAGTGTTTTAGCACCCTCACTAACCACAGGTGCATGCTAAACTCAATAGATGCTACGGCTCTTGAATACATTTGAAGATTTAATTAAAATACACAGCGGCCTGCAAACCAATCATTTTGATAGAAAAAAAGACCAGGATTCAAAAAGTGATATCTTGATTATACTTCATAAAAAAGTTTTTAGAAGCTTCTTGGGGCCATGGCTTAGGGGTCAGCGCACATGTTCTGGGCACATTGAGCTGCGGTGTGCATGTGGGTGACAGGTTCGAGCTCCACAAAATCTCTGTAACTACATAACTATCCAATGAAAGATGAAAGACATTTAGCTATAGTAACTGGAATACCCTGGTAAATACACTACTGTTCTGAAGATTGGGGTCAGTATTTTTTTTTTAGGAAATGAATACATTTATTCAGCAAGTATGTATTAAATTGATCCAAAGTGACAGTAAATATTATTCTATTACAACTTTCTATTCATAAAGTATTAATGAAAAAAGTATCTTTGTTAGGCCTGTCATTATTATTGATTAATCGTCTGATTGTGGTCATTTGATCAAATTGAAATTATTTCAGATAACCGCAATAATTTTCCCGTTAAAATTTCACTCACATTTTGCCAAAGAATATAAAAAACTGTTGTAAAGGACATCAAGAGATTTAAAGGCCTGTGGGTTTAATCAGACTGCATTATATATTATATTATATTATATTATATTATATTATATTATATTATATGGGCCAATTTTATAAACATTTTTATTATTATATTATATACGATTCCAAGTAAAAAGAAACTATTACAGAAAGTGATACAAATAATTGCGCTTGATGAATTAAGCTTTGCATCACATTTCAAATTTAGCCAAATAGAAAATGTTTCTTTTAAATTGTAATATTTCACAATATTACTGTTTTTTCTGTATTTTTACTGACCAGAAGAGACTTCTTTAAACAATAAAAATAAAATTACCGATCGGTATTTTTTGGTTGGTAGTGTATTAAGGCCTAGCAGTCAATAGCAGATACTGAAGAACTTTAATTTCTATAGTCTTCAAACAGGAAATAGGTCCAAGACAGTACTCAGGTGCCACAGTGTGTGTGGGTATGTTCTATAGATAGAGCGGTCTGATGGTTGACTCCATGTGTTAAAGAATATGAGTGAGTCAGTAAGTGTGGGTCTGTTGTTAAATGAGTCAAGTGAGTCAATTTTGTGTGTGAGTGACTCATTCAGTGTCCCTGAGTTTGTGAGTCACGTGTCACCCACCACTGTGTGTTACCTGTCAGGACTGTGTGTCATTCGAAGCAGCAGAGTGTTGAAGAGGCCTGTCAGTTCTCTCTGTAGCCGGTGACTGAGGTGGGCCTGAAGCTTGTCCGCTTCCCCCTGTGACTGGATCTGTGTGTGGGTCTGCAGTTCAGCACTCAGCAACAAGTTCAGCAGGGTGTGTGACTCCTACACACACGAATACACAGCTACTTAACAATGTGATCTGTCAATTACAGCCATCTTACACCTCCTGATTCAGCTGAACACAATTTGATGACTCCATCCTTATCCTCCACAGGAACGACTACTAAAAATAGCAGCTTTATTACAAAGTCCTCATTCAGCAACACTAGAAATCTTAATCCTGCATATAATTTACCTACAAGGGGGTTCTGTGTGATTTTTAAGGAGTTCTGGCTAGTTGCTTGTAGTTGTAAGGGTGCAATGGATCGCAGTTGATCTGTGATCTGTACGGACCAGGCCCCACGGTTCGTCACGCATGTGATTAGCGGATTAATTGCGGATTAGTTTAACCATCATAGAGTGAAAGTTTATCATTTGCAAGTCTTTTCTTGACAATTTAGACATTTAAGCGATTTTAAACCATTCAAACACAAGAGGCAAAAGAGAACTCAATTGCGTGCTGTTATCTGAGCAAACAGCTGCACACACCCGATGCACACACACACAGAGGCCTTCAGATTGATTCAAATTGATTCCTCTTTCACATCTTCTTGCGCTTGAACGGACACATACACACAAAATTATGGTAAAATACCCGTCTCTGCATGTATTCTCGTAAACACTATCGTTATGTCTTAAGTGAACATAAACAGTTGAGAAAGAAATCGGATGTGTATCATTATATTGGATTCGTTCATTGGGGCTTAAAAGGACAGCAACCTATAAATACCTGCTGCTAAGTCATTAAAGGGTTATTCACCCAAAAATTGTTCTTCTTTCAGCCAAACACAATCTGAGTTATATAACAAAAAAAATACCCTGGCTCTTCCAAGCTTTGTAATGGGAGTGAATAGTACCTGAGATTTTGAAGCCCCAAAAAAAAAAGCACATTCATCCATCATGAAAGTAATCCATATGGCTCCAGGGGGTTAATAACTGAGCAGTGCGTTTTTGTAAGAAAAATATCCATATTTATAACTTTATAAAGAGTACAAGAGTAGAGTTTCGGCGGAAGAGTAACCCCTGACCTGACACATGACATATTGACGAACGCAGAAGCGCAGGATAGAGCAAAACAAAACAATGGCCACGAATTAGAAGTCTAAAACGAGAATATTTTAAGAGAAATGTTGGAGGAGCTTGAGTTTGTTGCCCAGTCCTATTTTTTTAATCACGAGAGGCGTCTTCCCTCACCTAAGCTCACACTACTCCTACATCAAACGTCATGTGTCGGGTCAGATGTCACTCTTCCGCCGGAACTCTACTCACGTAAGGCCGTTACCGGAAGCAAATTATTATCATTTATAAAGTTAAATATGGTTGTTTTTTTGTTACAAAAACACATCACTTAAGATGGTCTTTCTTAACCCCCTGGAGCCGAATGGATTACTTTTATGATGGATGGATGGATGCGCTTTTTGGGGCTTCAAAATCTTAGTTACTATTCACTCCCATTATAAAGCTTGGAAGAGCCAGGTTATATTTTAATATAACTCCGATTGTGTTTGGCTGAAAGAAGAAAGTCATATACACCTAGGATGGCTGAGTAAATTATGAGATCATTTTCATTTTTCGGGTGAGCTAACCATTTAAATGTTAATAAAACAACTAAAGACATTTTAACAAAGATTAATCTAGATTTAATTTATACAGTGAACACTATATTACATTTAATGATCACATTTCTGTACCTGAATACTACTGTTAGACCTTACTTAACTTTGTTATATTGCATTTATCTATGGTTGTAATTTTTTTTTTTTTTTTTTTTTTTTGCTGATCTGAAAAATTGTCTGATCCGTGATTTAAAAAAAACGCCCTATGATCCGAACCGTGAGTTTAGTGATCCGTTGCACCACTAGTTGCTAGGATCACTGTGGAGATCGCTAGGGTGTTCTGAATGGTTGTTAGGCAGGTAAAAAAAAAGTGTGTGTGTGTGTGGGCGGGGGGGGGTGTTCTGGTTGGTGGTCTTGGTGGTTACTCAGGAACTGTTGGGAAGTTGCTGTTGGGTGTTCTGTGTGGTTGCTTAGCTGTTTTGGTTTGTATAGAAGAAAGGGGGTTTCTAAGGATCCTTGTGCATCGCTAGTCATTTGCAAGGGGGTTAGAGATGGTTGCTAAAGCATTGCTAGGTAGTTGCTATGGTGTTCGGTGTGGTTTTTAAGTGGTTGCTAAGACATGAGTGATTGCTTTTTAACCCAGCCGTAATTCTCTATGATATTCCTCTCCTTAGATATTTGTGTGGTCCCTTTTCAATGCAAGTCTATGGGATTTTTTTTTTTTTTTTGTAAGTAATCTCTCCTCCTCAGTAAGCCACACAATTTGAGCAATCATTCATGTCCAAAGCTCTAATGATGCAGCATACAAAATTTTTGTGCAAAAGAATATTAATAAGCATGTGCTTGTCTTAACAGGCACCACTGGAAAAAAAAAAAACACACGGTTGTGCCCGTTTCATTTAGACGGCACAGATGTTTGAGAAACACTCCAGCGACTGTGGATGCTCTCTGCATTTCACCACCTCCCCCACCAGGCGTTTCATCAAACCCAGCGTTCTCTGTCAAGCGTCAAGGCAGGTTTGTTTGCATACATACACATTAATGCGAGGTAAGTCAGGAATAGACTTTTAGTAAATAAAGCCATTCTTCCCCAGTGTGAAAAACAAAAACAATGACAGCTGAAGAACGTCTCTCCGCCACAAGCGTTAATTCAATATTAATGTATTTGTATTGCTCCGCAGTGTGATTTATTTCAGCTTCTCTTAATAAATACACCACACTGTGTTCATCTGAGGCAGGAGGGCAAGCTAATTTAATTATCAAGGTACAATAAGTCTCTTTATTGTTTTTATGAGGGCTCCAAAGATAAATAAAAGCACTCCATAAAGGATTCAACACGGCTGTGGTATGTGGCAAGGGTTTATTCAGAAATACCTGGTTTAGGAGTAATTCTAGGAGCCATTTTAGGTCCTGGTGATCCAACTCAGACTGATTCTGCTTAAAGAAGGTGTTGAGGAATGAGACAATGTCCACCAAGAGCCTCTCATCTTGACGGCAAGCTGGACGTACCATAATAAATCTGTTAATAAAAAAAGAAGTGTTTATGTTGGCATTCAAAAGTTTGGTGTTGGTAAGATTTTAAAATGTTTTTGAAAGAAGTCGTTATGCGCATTTCTAATGCATAATTGCATATATGTGTGTTTTTATGAAAAATACAGTAATTTCAGGAATATTGTAGAAAAACTGCAATTTAAAACAACTGTTTTCTTTAATATATTTTAAAATTGTACGTTATTGCTGTGATGTCAAATCTCCGGTCTTCAGTGTCACATGATCCCTCACAAATCATTAATTATCTCATTATTTCTTCTTATTATCAATGTTTAAACAGTTGTGATGCTAAATATTTTTGTGAATCATTTTTTCAGAATTATTTGATGAACAGGAAGTTCAAAAGAACAGCATTTATATTAGAAATATAATCTTTTGTAACAGTATAAATGCATTTACTGTCACTTTTGATCAACTGAATTCATCCTTGCTCAATAAGTATTGACAAAAATCTTACTGACCAGACATCTTGAACGGTAGTGTATATTTTACGTAACTTTTTAACAGGTTAGAAACAGGTTAGGACAGGTAGAACAGTTCACTTAAAAATTTAAATTCTGTCATCATTTACTCACCCTCAAGTTGTTTCAAACCTGTATGAATTTATTTCTTCTTTATTTTGAAGAATGTCAGCAACCAAACAGTTGATGGACCCCATTGACTTCCATAGTAGGAAAAAAAATACTATGGAAGTCAATGGGGTCCATCAACTGTCTGGTCACCGACATTCTTCAAAATAAAGAAGAAATAAATTCATACAGGTTTGAAACAACTTGAGGGTGAGTAAATGATGACAGAACTTTCATTTTTAAGTGAACAATTCCTTTAATCGATTTAATCTGTCTTTGCTGAATACATTTCTTTAAAAAAAAAAATCTTACTGACCCAAAACTTTTGAACGGTACTATATTTAGTTTCAGAGTCATTTCTAAGCTCTGTTTTGCCAAAGATAAAATATCGTTCTGCTTTGTGTCTGAAGGTGTCAGCTCATTCATTGTTTAAGGCTGTGTAATGCTGGCGCACTCCATCAAACTCATGCCTGGCGATCACAAATCACATACCTGGAGGTATACAGAAAACAAATGTATAGATCACACACACAGTGTGTTTACCTCTCTACAGCGTTGTGCCAGCTTAGGGTTTGCAGGATGTTCTTGCTGCTCTGGGCAGTGGATTTGAGTGCAAGGCGGTCAGCGAAAAGGTACAGGTGCATTCTGGTCAAGGCAAAGGTGACTGTGCTGTGGGAGCTTGCATCACGGACCCCGTGAATGCAGTCCCCTAACCCGGACCTTATATTGCTTATTCTTAACACCACCACCTGAGATTCGGACAGCACCAGATCACCATGAAACCTTAGGGTGAGGAGGAAGCAGAAAACGAGGGGTTACGAAAAAAGTTAAGCCTTTCAGCACTCTAACCCAATGTGCATGTTGAAGTCACTGAGACCAAAACATGTTCTTACATGTGTCGTAAGCAATTTAAAAAAAAATTCTGGATGCAAACATGTTATGAGCCTTGGTGATGATTATTAATGAATAACTATTTTAAATATTTAGGTTATCAAAAGAAGACTTGGAACAGTGCACAAATCAACTTTTATGGTACCTTGTTGTTGTTTTTTGAAGTTTGACACAGATGGTCACTATGTATCGGAAGCATAAAGCTTGAAAAATAAAAACAAAAATTTTCTTCCACAGATAAATTACAGCATAGAGGTTTGGAGCGACCGTAAATAATGACATTTTTTATTTTTTCATTTATTCCTTTAGGGAAGCCAGACAAGTTTACTGCCAGCAGATCAGCAGATCTGTAATCATTTTATACTTGGTAACAAATCAACAGCTTCTGTGTATTAAAATGACGTTAAGTTCTACTGCAAAAGTTTCCAAACAGTTCAGCAATAAAAAACTATCTATCTTAACTCTTAAGATGATACAGATTTACTGCCTAAAACTCCTAGTGCTCAATACAATTTGAGTGCTTGAAAACAAATAAAAGGCTTTGAGAATGTCAAAAGTGCACCTATTATGCTATTTTAAAGATTCCTATTCTTGTTTTGGAGGTCTACAACAGGTTTACATGCATCCAAGTCCAAAAACACTTTCATTTTCTCATAATATACATTGAAGCATCTCTCGCAGTGTCTGAAACCATTCAATCAAGGATTCGGTCCTAACATGTCAACAGCACAAACCAAGCTTTTCCAGGCTTCAGCTACAACTACAGATTTTTTTAGGTCAAATTAGATGTTGTTCACGGGCAACCAATGAAGACCAAAGGCTGGCATTATGCAAATATATTACAAACCTACTTAGGTTCGTACAGGAAGTACAGGCTGGAATTACTGACGGCTCGTTTCAGGCCGTTCTAAATCGGTTCAGTACCTCCATGCACTTTGATATTTGAAACTTCGCAGACATTTTACATTTGTAAACAGCTATATTACACACCACATGAAACGTAATATCAGGAAAAAAGCATAATAGGGGCACTTTAAATTAAATTGTACCTTAAAACGCTCACCACAATGAACTTATACAAGCATGCGAGTAAATTCTACTTACTCCAGTACATCACTCCTAAAACCCTTCAGATGCTCTAGCAGTCCATCAATCCCAGAATGCCATGCTGTGTTCCAGGTGATCTGCAGTGCCTCCCAGGCAGGTTTCAGACTCAGCAGGTCTGAATATGGAGGGAGAACTGAACAGTAGGGACTCACTGCATGGTGTGAGGGCGCTTGAAACGGAAGATTATACCTGTAAGAAAATACGAGATTTAACATTTCATATACAGTTAATCTGTCAAATAATAGTTAAATCACCATTTAATTTTCCCACGACACCTATAAAAGTCAGGTTATGGGGGAATTAAATGGCCGTTTCTTTTAATGCACAGCTAGAATGTCGTAATGGATGTGATTTACCTCCGTATAATGGCAGCAGGCAGTGAGAAGGAAGACAGGCCTGTGTCTGAGCCAGCTTTGTCAGTCCTGATCATGGCACAAAGAGGGTGAAATGTAACGTGAGCCAAAGCATTCTGGTTTTTACCATATTTCAACTGTTTTTTATCTACATAATGAAAGTCATTGGAGACCAAAACAACACTGGACCCCATTGACTTTCATTTTTGGGTGAAATATCCTTTTAAGTTAAACAAAACCCTTACTCATAATTATAAGAGTGTGATCACTATTAAGCCGCCTTTCCACTATCTCCGACAAGCGTCAGACCAGAAGTCATTCGTTTTCAATGCAGAGTAGTACGGGAGGTTCATGGAGTTCTGACCATATGCGTGGCAATTTCAGAACTGATTTGAGCTTCGGATGTGATTACCGGTATTCTAAAAAATATGAATGTGAGGTGATTTCATAATTATTTATGTCGATTAGAAAACCCACTATGTTTTTCTTTTGGATGTATGAATATACCCACACAAAATAAATTACCTCCAAATACATTTATTATATTCATTCAAATCCTTCATTTTACCGTGGTGTGTAAGCGGAGGGTAATGGTTGCTTCACGTTTAATTTGAAAGTTCCATGCGACTGCCACTAGAGGTTGAAATGTGACAATTGTATGTGAATGTCGAAGATTTACATCACTTTTACATTTATTCATTTAGCAGACGCTTTTATCAAAACAAACAACTACATGTTGAAGAATACAACAAGTGATTCATCTTAAAGTGACAAACTGCTAGTAATACAAAGTTTCAGACAACGGAGATAGTGGAAAGCTGGCTTTACAGGTTTTTTTTTTAACTGACAGGGTTTGATGAAACCAGCTGCAGATATTTTACATATCGACCAATGGAGTGTGAGATCATACAACAAAGAAAACTTACCAAACGTCCATTCGTGCGATTTCATCAAACAGCAGATTGCACATCAATGCGGCAGCCTCGCTCACATCACCCTGACTCTCCTTTATCAACAGAGATGCTTAAAAAGAAAAGACAATTTAAATGGCCAGGGAAGCAATCATTTAAATGTACAAATGTGTCGTAGCATGAATTATACAGCATGTGTTCGCATTAAAAATGGTTAATTGAGGCATAGTGGCAAACAGATTTTAAGGGCCGCATCCTGGGACCGAGGTGGAATAAAACATGAAAACAAAACTATAACAAGGAAAACAACACAACTCATCCATTATAGATGTGAAAGTAAAACAAAAAGGGCTCGAGTCAGAAAAAACTAATTTTACATCGCCGTACTCTAGACGATCACAAACATTTGCAAACAGCTTATCGGGGAGCTCTTCACTGGACGTTTCTAAATGTCTGGACATGCATAAAAATTACATTTGCCATTTGTGCATTGTCTAGAACTGGAAGGATCGTGTCAATAGCTCTTAATTTCCAGCAGTAAGTAAACAAAATGCAACTGCAAGCAGCAATTAAGTGGCCAAACACACCAGTGGATCTTGTGACGCCATGATCTTTTGATATTTTCTTTTTGGTTGAAAGGCTAGAAGAAGATATGTTATTTCTTGTAACAAATGACCAGTATGTGGTGCTGAATTCAAACTTTGCACATACCATAGGGAACTGTGAGAAATGACAGACTGTTGCCATTAACTTGTTTGTTTGTGTTGAAACAGTTTTGAAAATCAAGAGGTTTGGTGAGGTTTGGTCTACAGATGGTCTGAGCTAATTTTGTGAAAGATTACAGACCTTGAAAATAAAGCTATCAAGCCTTCACAAATATATGGTGAGAAGAACGAGTATAACCTATTTTCCAAAACTATATTTTTTAAAAACCTTTCACCGCCATCGTCTGAAGATCACTGACAAATAAATCAGCATGATTTATCAGCAAATTTAAGGAAAACTATTTTGTTTCTAAGCTGTAAAATTGTAACAATCCAAAAAGTTTGGGGTTAGTATGTTTTTTTAAATACTTTATTCAGCATGGACACATTACATGAAAAATAATTAAAATAATAAGAAATGTTTCTTTAGCACTAAATCAGCATAGTAGAATGATTTCTGAAGGATCATGTGACAGACACTGAAGAGAGGACTGAAGTAATGGCTGCTGAAAATTCAGCTTCGCATCACAGGAATAAAATACTGTTCACTTATATATAAAATTGAAAAGTTATTTTAAATTGTAATAATTTTTCACAATATTAACAGTTCTTACTGTATTTTTGATCAAATGAATGCAGCCTTGGTGAGCATAAGAGACTTCTTTATTTTTTGCTTGAACAGTAGTGTACATGCTATTGCAATGAACTATGCGCTAGAGGGATTGAGAAAAGGACCCCAAGACTGGCACCATGAACACCAAGGGCCTTCCCAATCACTGTGCCAAAGGGGCTGACATAAACTAACATCTAAAAAAGGTGTCTACAAAACTGGTTTTTGGGACTAATTAACCAACTATCTATGTGCCGTACCTCTGAGCAGCGTGACGAGAAGAGACGTCTGCTGAGCCAGACTGTGACGCAGAGAGGGGTCCGCAAACACCAGCTTCCTTAGCATGCATATGCTGGGCTCCAACATGCAATCCATGCCCTGGATAATGAATACAAAGCCTGAATGCAAAACCTTCTAAAGTAAATAGATGCAATAGCCCATAAAAATGCAAGCCCTAAAAATACAATGCATTAAAATGGAAGCATGGTTAATGCAATGCATATTTTTTTCAAGTAGTGCAATTTAACAGGCTTTTTTGTTTCAAAAACATTTGGCATTATTTTACTTCCATAGTTTCGACCGCAGGAACCAGGGTCTAAATGAAGTTCCGGGTAAAAATGTCCCCCTCAGAAAGTCCCTGCTTGCGAGGTAGTACTTTTTCAAAGTTCAGGAACTTTCGGGGGTGGGACTTGGGCGCTGAACATGCTGACTGGATGAGTTAATGCCGCATTTTGATTGGTTGATTGGTTTCATTTCACTGACCATTTTTAAAAATGCGGCTGCATGCAGTCCTAAGTGTAATTTATCTAATCTTAGACAGTGGTGGAAAAGCAGAACGCAACAGGTCTGGGGGGAAAAAGTTCCTGGGACAAATCTCCGGGTAATTTCGGTGGAAACGCAGCTAAAACAAGCCTAAGATTTATTAAATTAACACATATTATACAGAGACACTTCATATGTAATGGTATTAAATTATTTGTTGATTGCATTTAATAGATAACATACTTTCAATAAAACATTTGTAATTGGTTTGTAAAAGGTGTTTTTATGCATGTTTGGGTTGAGTTTTTGTTGCATTTTCACTATTCTGACCAGCAAGCATCACCCACATGAGCTGTTTCAAAAGATTTAAAAAAAAAAAAAAATCACTTTGCAAAGCAAGTGGTTCAACTGATTCAAAGATTTGAAAGGTTTTGTTTCTCCCATCTCTAGTAGACCCTAGGAAAAACCACACATCTGCGATAAACTACTGCACTGCTAAGCTGTTTGGAGTGGTGTTATGCCACAGCTTTAGAGGAAACAGTCATAATTCATCACAATTGAGTCTAGAAGTGTTTACACAAACAATCACAACCGCAGTCATAACATTCACAGTAAAACTACAACAACACAAAAAGTTAGACAAGTAGTCAAAACAAACAGGCAAAGCAGTGACGTAATTGACAGTAACAGCACTAACTAGGTATGGCAAATGTAGGAGACATATCGGATTCTGCTCATGGCGTAATTGCCAGACATTTCTGTGCATAATTCTCGCTAATTAGCCATATTAGCAGGCTGGAATACTTGACAAAGCTGGCAGCTTTCAGCCTAGGGATGCAGAGATCATGCAATAGATGCGAATTAAGACTGACTCACTCTTGACTGAAACCATTAACTCAAGCATCATGCCCAGGCACCAGTTTCCTGAATTCATTCAGGATAAAAGGCTCACTGAACAAAAGAGAATGTGAGGTTTACCGCCACATTGTTGTTGACGCACTCCGTGATGAAAGATATGAGCTTGTCTGATAAGCCCAAGGCCTTCAGTACCACATGCATTGATGAATCTATAAAGAACATAATTACAAATAAATCAAGACCAGCTTTGTTTCTAGAACATGTTGAAATATGTGTTATTTGCTTTGTCAATTTATGTTTCAAAGATCAAAAGCATTATTCAAAACAATTAAAATTGGTTTGTGAGGTGTTTCAAGAGAAATGGACCTCACTTTTGGATAGACAACGTGTTAATTTGATGAAGTTCACTCATTAGGTTATAATGTCTAAATTAATCTAAAGGACAAAAAAATCTGGAGTGTAAAAACCGGTAAAACAAATCTATTGAACATCGATAAATTAAATATGGTGTCTTCTCAGCCTAAGGTTAATTAGGATGAATGGATACACGAGTGTTATTTTAGTATAACTGATATAGTACTATAATAATTTTTGTTAAGATTTTGAATTAGATTACATTTTTTTGTATTCTGTTAAAGTGTTAATAAAAAAACGATTAAAAATGACAAACAAAATTACAACAAAATTACGAAGTTAATGATAAAATAATTTAGTTAATGATAAAAACAATGGGATGCACAGATGAATTCCTCACCTTGCAGAACAATAGCCAACTGATCAGCCGCAGATTTCCGCAAAACTAGATCTACCGTGTCCGACGTAAGGATATTGTACAATTTATTTACAGACTCCACCTGTTTAAACAAAAAAAAAAAACATTTACTGAAGATTTTGTCAAGGCCACTAAAAACAGAGCAAAATATTTGTACATGGTGTCAAAGCCAATAATAACAGTGGATTCAAAGCAACACAAGAGTGTATTATTAATAGGCTGCTTGAGTGAGGGAGCAGCGTTTTACCTTCACGTATGACTTTTCTGAATTGCTCAACTTTATGTCCACACTTTTATTAAGAACATAGAGATTTGGTAAACATGACAATGTGGAGCTGTCCAGGGTTGGTCTGGAGTTGCTGGCTCCCTCAGAGCTGGTCAGGTGTGGTAGCAGATGTTGGACTGCTTTATTCCTCACGCTAAAAGTTGCAAACAGAGACACAGCATTTACAAACTTTGGAAAGAAGTTATTAAGCTCAATGTCAAAGCTGCTCTTTTTCTTTCAATGAAAGTGAATGCTGATCACGACTGTCCAGCAATGTTTTCTGTGAATAACATAACTTTCAGTCTGTTAGCCTTTGTGATATAGCCTTTTTAAATTGAAATAATGTTAACACTTTACAATAAGGTTTCATTAGTTAACATTAATTAACTGCATTAGTTCAAATTAACTAATAATGAACTGCACTTCTACAACATTTATTAATCTTTGTTAATGTTAACTACTTCAACATTTACTAATACATTATTGAAATCAAAAGTTGTTTTGTTAACATTAGTTGATGCACTGTGAATAAACATGAACAGTTTATTTGTATTAACTAACATTAACAAAGATTAAAAAATACAGTAACATATGCATTGTGTTCATGTTAGTTAATACATCAACTAACGTTTACAAATCTTATTGTAAAGTGTTACCAATATAATATAGTTTAAAAGAATAATAATATAGTGCAAAATTAATGTATTTTTTCTGACAGTTAATTGAATGTTTACTGCAATTAAATAGTTTAACCTTATATTAAATGCAATTAGCTGACCTTGAGTGCTTTTTTATGTAATTTCATAATTAATTCTTCTGTCTTTTGAAAAAAATGTAATAATTTCACTGCTGAATGTACCAACAAGCATTAATGGTAAAATAAAATTCCTTTAATGTCATTTTTTATTAAAACTTGTATTTCAGGTATTTAAATGTTTGTAATTAAACATTTGTAATGATGAGGTTGCAATTTAATACATATAAAATATATTAACTTTAAATGTATTATCAAATACTAGTTAAATGATCAAGTACTTTACAAGTGCTTTAGTATGTTAGTCAACAGGTTTTTAAAGCACGACAAAAGATTATTAAAACAATGATTACAAAGTGCACTTTTTTATAGTGTGATTAATTGTGTAAGGAAACCGTCGTAAAAGCGTAAGTTAAGTAGACTTTTGTTTCATTATATATTACATTATATTTATATTATTTCATGCAAGAACATTATTTAACATTTGTACACTACAAGTGCACATACATACAATACAATGTATGGCACTTCTTTTTCACTTGGGAAAGCTACTGTATAGTTTCAGAAGACTTGGAATATATCCATGTGGAACTACTTTTACAATGCTTATTAACCTTGACTTTCACAGTTCCAATTTCATTACGTTGTAAAAGAGCAGCGATAACATACTACAAACAATCTCCTGTTGTGTTTCACAGAAGAAAATGATATGGGTGAGTAAATGATGACAGAATTTTCATCTTTTGGTAATTATTGCCATAGAGAAGAAAATGGAAGAAATCCAAATCGATGTGCACTTTAAACTCACGTGTGATGCTTGGTGAACAGAAGCCGGAGGGCCATCCGTAGTCTGGTAGGCGGTGAACAAACCTCATCTTCCTTCTCAGCAGATGCTTCACTTAACAGCAAGATACAGTTTCCCAGGGCGTCATCAGTACTGGCGTAACTCTAATATACATAAACGCACAAAGCTTTAACACAGCATAAAATAGACTTCCAAAACCTAAATACAACTTGAAACAACAATAAATAAACACACAATTCCGACAGACTATTTCACCACTGCTTTATTGACAGCACAAACCAATTACTGAGGCTTCAGCTAAAATGAATCAAATGTGATGACCTTGACAAGATTTATGAATATTCAATGCCACTCCAACCCCACCCTTCAAAAACTGAAACGCAGCTTCTGTAGTTGAAAAGTACAAGATAACCATGTTTAAAATAGAATGCGGCGTAACATGGATATTACCATTCAGCCTCGGGCATCTTGCAAACACGTTAATATTACATTGGAAATTATTTTTTCAGCCAAGTTTGACGGTTATATTGCTGCTATGCGCTTGTGTGTGTGTGTGAAGAGAGATGTGGAGAAAGGAAAGAGTGTTTCCACCTGTAATATAGGAATGACCGGGTAAAGTGCCTCATTAAATCTGCTCCAACTTGCGGCTGTCATCATCAATCGTCCCTTCAGCAGATAGAGTAGTATATCCTTGGCAGCAGCGCTCACCTTTGGATCACACATAAAGTTAGTTGATGGCGCTATGATATTGCACTTACAACAAGCTACCTCATCCAAATCCACCAAACGTCACCTGCAGCAGTGTGACGGGGGCATTTCCAATGTCAATCATTAGTTTAGCATGACCTCAGTAACCCATTAAACATACAGAGTGGATACATTATTTATTAACAAACTGTGTATTGGTATATCAAAATATTTCTTCTTTGTGCATTACTTGGGGTCTCGCTGGAAACAGGAAGATGAATTATTCACCTCTCTTGCTTGGTCTTGAAGGCCAAACACACTGATCTCATACAGGACACGGGAGTGAAGCAAGAAATGCACTCCGCTGCAGATGGATGAGGCCGGTCTGGCCACATTCTGAACTCCCAAGCACTCCTGTGGGGTGAGAGCAGCAAGTTAGGGTGGGGATATTACCGTCTACAGGGTTCAAGGGTCACCAACACCCTATGTGGAGTGTAATAGAATTGCTAGGAAGTGTAATTGCAGGGGGTAAAAGTGCATTTTACCCCCTGGAAAAGGAAGAACTCTTAACTAAAATATTTCTGGCTGGAAGTACCAGGTCATCAGGTGGTCAAGCTTGCCAACTAGTCCAAAAGATGCTTTAGAATAAACAACATTTTTGTATAATTTTAAATATATGCACTATTGTTCAGAGGTTTGGGGTTGGTTAGGTTTTTTAATGTTTTTGAAAGATGTCTCTAAAGGTTATCAAGTAGGGCTGGGACAATAAATCGATTCATCGCGATTCCAATATTTTCCGAATGCATAGCTATTCTATCTCAAATCGATTCTGAGCTTAGTTTGTAACAGCAGATGGCCGTTCTAGGCTAGTTTTTAACCGCACGCTCAAATGCTCACGAAGAAGAGCGCTCGTGCGTTCTGCTGAGTCTGAGAATGTAGTTGCACTGAATGCTTTAATGACGCGAGATTAATGTAAACAGCCCACTGCAAACACCCTTAATACGCTTCAACCTTTTCGAACTTTATGATTGATTATTTCGTAGAAGGTTCAAGTGGTGTGTCTAAGGCATTGGAAGCCAGCAGAGTACGGCTGTTTCTAAAGCATGCAGTGACATCAGCTGTTAAAAACTAAGCTCAGAATCGATTCGAGAGAGAATCGCGATGCATTCGGAAAATCTCAGAATCAATCCAGAATAATTTCTCAATTCACGATCACGATTTATTGTCCCAGCCCTATTATCAAGGCTGCATTTATTTATTCAAAGATGCAGTAAAAACATTTACACAAACATTTGTGCTGCTTAATATTATTGTAGAAATTGTGTTCATCTTTCTTTTTTTTCAGGGTTCTTTGATGAATAGAAAGGACAGCATTTATTTGAAATATAAATATTTTGTAACATTATAAATGCATTTCTCTTTTGATTATGAATTTCTTTCAAATTATTTTTTAGTGAACCAAACCTACAGAACTTTTTGGTTCTGAAAATGTTAAATACTTACATCATTTTTTATTATAATATAATGTAATATAATATAATATAACAATGATATAATATATAAAAACTCTTTAACTCTATATTTTAATTGCATGAATCTTAAACACACAAAACAGTTTAAACTTAATTTCAAGTTGGACACATCTGATTGTGATTTGTTCCTGAATCTATAGTGGGCCATTCTTTTTTGAGAGTCAACATTGAACTGCGGTTCAGGAAACACTGGATTAATGGGTCAACTTTTGCCCTAGCAGGTACTAGTCCAGCAAATCAACCACCTAAAGAATGTTAGATAAGTTTGACCCTATAAAACCATATGCTTCCATCAAACAAATCAGATGGTTAAGCTGGAATTTTCAGTTCCAAACCTAGGTGAACTTTTTCCTTTTTCGTTTCTGTCACTCATCTACAGGAAGTGGTTAAAAATAAGCTCCCTAATTTTCACTGCACATCTTGTACCTTCAAAACACTCAGAGTGCAGGAGTAGGTTTCCACCTTCACTTGGGACAGAGGGTGAGACAAAAGCTTCAGAAATATCTTCTGACTCTCCGACTGCAGGAGCGGGCTTGCTTGTGCAAATTTCCACCTACGAAGAGACACGATTTTACAGATTTTTATACGATGACACTTCTTCCACAGTGCCAGACAAAACAGCAGATGTCAATGGTGTTTTTACGGTTGCTATAATTGTGACAAACTTACAGGTAGGAGCAAATTTGGACGCATTCCTTCACCATCGGTAGGTGCTGATGGTACGGAAAAGCATCTATTCCTTGGTCAGCAAGCTCCAAAAGCTCATGCCAATTCTTATCGCCCTGTAAAGCAAAATTTCCACTTGAAGCACTTCTACTTCCAATTCGACATAAGGCTGAGTAAATAATAATCTTTTAGTGGGCTAGTCCTTTAAAGTTGGCATGAAATGGAAGTTGTGATACACTTTTCTTCCTTAATGTGATGTATATATGAGTGAAATGGCTTCTCGAACAAGCAAAAAAAATGTAGGGTGGAGCTTGATTTTGTCCATTGGGAATTGAGTGAATTGTTGGATTGTTGTGGGTTACTATTTCTGTGATGTCATGTGAGTGACAGGTTGTCCCGCTCTCTCGGCAGTGAACATGTCATCAGAGAAGAGAAGACATGTGGTTTCAAGAGACAGGAGGTTGCTTTGGTTAAATTATTTAATTACTTTGATTTCATGCCCATTTCCTCTATTTTCATAATTAGATATTACCTTTCACTAATAATTTAATAACACTAATAAATTACATTTTTAGTAAATCTCAACTTGAGTCAATATTTCAATATATTTTAGTTTGTGTTTTCTTTTTAAATTATTTAGACATTAAGTGTTGAATTTTAATATTGACTATTATAACATAATAAAATAATTATCGGCTTATTGGTATAGAACAGTATTTTAATACCAGTGGATTCATTGAATAAGGCATGCACTGAAAGAAATTGTTCTAGCTACGAGTTTGTCATTCTTGAAAGATCCAATCATTACCTTGGCCTTTAGCAAATCACAAAATTGCTCAAAACAAAAAAGTTGCGGTAGCTTTTCTTTCCTTTTGTGAAGTATTTCCAAGTGAAACAGCTTCTTAAACAAGAACAAATGTAGAGGGCAAGTTATTTTGATTAAAAATTGCAAGGGCAAAATTTAATAAAATGTTTCTTATAAAAAAATAAGAGTTGTTCGTTTTGGATTTCATGGTGACTCATTTAGTAAGACAATAGTGCAGAGTTTAAATATTGACTACATGTCTTAATAATGAATCCAAATATATTCTTCAAGCAGATATCCTACATGTTAGTAGCTCTTGAAAATTCCCAATCATTACCTCAGCCTGTGCATCCTTTAAAAAGGCGCATGTAGCCTCCATGCAGTGAGAAACACGGTATACTCTACGATACAGACTGTATCTTTCAAAGCAAGCCTGCTCTAGGTACGCCACAGCTGACTCATGGATGAGGGGGTACGCCACACAGAAGGATGCGTCAAGACACAAGAGGAAAATGGCAGCCACTGTACTTTCCGGAAGGTTATCTTCAGCCTGTTTGTAAAGACAACACACATAAGGTAATAAACACACATATGTGCAGTAAACAAGCACACACCCTAATGAATTTGTCTATAATTACAGTGCTGTCCTTAGGTCTACAGCTTAACTGAACAATTGACCCTTTCACAGCGACTTCTGGTGTGTTTCACAATCTCATTTGTTTTAATAATGACCATGAAGGACACGGCCATATGTCCACGGTGGCACGGCTTATTAATGTCTAAGAATGGCACAGCCATATGCTCTCACCTTCTCCACAGGTAACAAGGTTTGCAGGAGACGTATTGTGAAAATGGCAGTGCCCGTGAAGACCAGTCGGTGGTGGATCACAGATGATTCTGGCTCTTCAGAGGAAGTCATGCCATGGTGGTGGCACATAATGTCTCCCAACGTCTCTATGCATGCCTGTAATTTCTCCCTCTTTTATGAGACAAAAAAAAAAAACTAAATTACAAAGAGACTTATTGATCTCATGTCTTTTTCCTGCCAGCAGGGGGCAGCAAGAGTCCTGTGCATTTCAAAGAAAGTTTTCAGATGACAGCAGTTTTTCAAGATAAAATGCCATGAGCGTGTATTAAAGATCAATGAGGGAGAGAGGCATGCCGTGAAATATGCATAATCATATGCGGCGGGGAACGTTCTCATAGGTGTGCGCACACACACTAAGCACAATGAGTTTGTTTAAAAAGATTTCTACAGGCAATAAACATCATTGGACGAGGCAAATTTGGATATCAGTGTAATGCGACCTACATAATCCTTTGTATGCAATGCACTGATGTAATTTTATGTAAAATACACATACACTGAATGAGATAAACTTTGCATAATGAGAATAGTAAAACTTTACAATAAGAACACAATATATGTTAACATTAGTTTTTGCATTATGACCTAACATGTATTTGAAAAGTGTTAATTCATGTAATGTAATATAATATAAAAATAAATTGCTGACAAAGATTGTAAGTTCATTAAACCTAAATGTTGACATATAGATGGTTATTGGGAAACGCTAAAAATAAGGCTAAAAAAACATTAACATTAGTTAATGCATTAAGTACAATGAATAAAAAATAAAATTACTAAAATAATCTATTCATCTAGGTTATTTTATACATATTGTATTTTTCCTTTTTAATGTTCATTCATAATACATTAATGTTAATCTATACAGCTTGAAATGTTAAAATGTATTAATACATTAACATTAAGACTAATAAATACACTAAAATGATTGTTCATTGTTATTCCATGTTAGCTATTGCATTACCTAATTTTGTTGAATAAAGCATTATTGAAGCGATTTACATCATATTGTATTTTTTTAACCAATACAAATTTTTTAGATTGAAAAAACAGATGTATTCAGGGACTTCTAAGTGGTGAACCTGGCCTAAAAAACAACAGTTGTGCCATGACTGATTTGCGCTGATAGCTTAACGTTCTACAATGAGCATCTGTCCCTCAGAGTAAGTGAAGTGGGTGAGACGGAGCGGACGACAGGTGTGTGTTTGTATGCACTAATGCAGACATCAGCCTCATGGCTGTTGATCTGCACCATGGAGGAGTGCTGTTGAAAACACTTGCCAGCTCTGTCGCAGTCGGGTTGTGCTCGTCCCACACCTCGGGGGCTACGCTGTCTCCCAGCAGGCCCTGCGCCTCTGCCAGCAGCTCTAGTACCCGTTGGAAAACCTTCAGGCTCTCTGAGAAAACAGGGATGAGAGAAAAAAGAAGAGAGGAATATGATGGGCGATGGAAGCGCACGTGTGAGGGAAACAGCAGCAGCTGGAAGCAGGAAAGAGGGTTTAAGAGGACTCTCACCTGTCCTGATGAGAGGGAGCGCGTGCTCCACGGCCGCCACGGCGAATCTAGCCAGGCTCCACTGCTGCAGCTGCAGCTCCAGCGAGTCCTCCGCTTCCATCTCCGGGGGGAGCTGCGGGAGCGGAGACTGGTGGGAAGGCCTGGGGGGAGCCCCTATCTGACTGCTGCTACCGCTGTAACACACATATCAAAAAGAATCCTTAATTGCGAACGACGTGAATGGTTGGGAGCAATATTTAAAATAAAAAAAAATGAAGAAAAAAAAATGAAAAAGCTTAAGGCAGTGACGAATACTTTCGCTATGTTTAGTTCTCATCTTTTCCAACATAAACCTAAATTTAGTCATTAAAAAGCCATATTGCACACTTGTGTATTATATATATATTAAATCCACTTAGATATATACTGTTCAAGTGTTTTTGTTTTTTTAACTATCTAATGCTCAGCAAGGCTGCATTTATTTGATCTAAAATGCAGTAAAAACAGTGTTTTAAAAAGTAATTTATTCCTGTGATGCAAAGCTAAATTTTCGGCAGCTATTACTTCAGTGTTCAGTGTCACATGATTCTTCAGAAATCATTCTAATATGCTGATTTCCTGCTCAAGAAACATTTCTTATTATTATCAATGATGAAAACAGTGCTGCTTAATATTGTTGTGGAAAAAACCTGAAAGAAATAGCTGAAAATGTAATCATTTATTGATTACATTTTTTGTGGCAATGTAAACGTTTTTACAGTCACTTTTGATCAATTTAATGCATCCTTGCAGAAAAAAGTATTAATTATAAAAAACATCTTACAGACCCCAAACAGTTGAACATTAAAGGTGCACTATGCAGGATTAAAAAAAAAAAAAAAAAAAGTATAGACTCATACAAAAGTAGTGCCTGTCATTTACTTATGGTCCATTAGAAGTGTGCAGTGATATTTGTGTCTTAAATTCCTGTGCTCTGAACATTTCTGGGCCGCAGCCTTTGGCCAGTGGGTGCAAGGCTATCCCGTCTGGTCCGAGCCAACAGAAGGTCTACTGTGGCAAAAGTCCAAAAATGTTTAATGATAGTCATGGGAGGAATGTGTCACAACACACAGTGCATTACACTGTGTATGTGGCTGCATAGCCGTAGAAGACCAATAAAGAGTGCCTATATGATGACCACTGTCCACCATCAAAAGCACCTACATTGTGCACCCAACCGTTGGAACTGAACCTTGGAGCAGTGGAAGAAGGTCGCCAGGTCAGATGAGTCCCGTTTTCTTTTACATCACGTGGGCAGCTGTGTACTTCTGCGCTGTTTACCTGTGAAAGTGATGGCATCAGGACGCACTATGGGATGGCAATTCGGTGGAGGGAGTGTGAAGCACTTGTAAATGTTCTGTTGGGAAACCCTGGGTATGCCATTCATGTGGACGTCTATTTGACTCCATGTTGCTTTAAGCGCATCATTCTGCACACGGGATGCGCATAAGCGCTTTGCCGCTCTATATTGCCAAGTTTGACTGTTGTGTTTACAAACAGTACCTGGAAATCCTGCATAGTGCACCTTGCATGTCTTGTACAAAAAAAAAAACAGATTTAGTTTAGCATGACTATTTCCACCCCCCTCTCTAAATCTCTTGAATTAAATGGGCTGTTTTTGATTTCTCTATGTAAAATAAAATAAATATATATAAAAATAAATTGTATGTTCAAAGAGCAATTTATCCAATTCAATATTTTATAGCTTTTACTAACTAGAAATTTCCCTGACTTTTCAAGGCCTGAAAACACAATTTCCAGGTGTTCCATGACCATGGGAGGGAGCTTTGTGTTATGAACATTATGTCTAACAGATCATCCAGAAAATCCTATTATCAATTTTATTTTAAAGGTAGAGAATAAAGCTTAGTAAGCACCTAGAAGAGGCAGCATCTCCGTCCTGGCCATCCCCGCGTGCCCGCTGAACGGGTCGGCCCACCACAGAGGGTCTGGGGGAACTTTCCTCTGGAGAAGAAACCCCAGACCGTTGGGTACCCCTCACCTCATGAGGGTAGGAGATAGAGGAGTTCTGAGAAACAGGGTCTAAAGGGGTTAAATAAAAAGACAGATAATGATTCAGCATTTAGAAAAGTATCTAAGTTTAAAATCACATTTAGAAGAACTGCTGAACCACTTCTGTTCAAAAGTTTGGGATCAGTAAGATTTTTTTAAAGAAACGTATAAAAACTTTTCTTCAGCAAGAATACATTAAATTAACTAAAATGTCAGTAAAGACATTTATAACGTTACAAAAGGTTTCATTATAAAATAAATTATGTTAGTATTTTAACTTTCCATTCATGAAAAAATCTCAGCTGTTTTCAATAATAATAAGATATGTTTCTTGAGCACCAAATCAGCATATTATAATGATTCCTGGAGGATCATGTGACACTGAAGACTGGAGTAATGATGCTGAAAATTCAGCTTTGCCATTAGGAATAAATTACATTTCAAACTATATTAAAATAGAAACGAGTTATTTTAAATTGTAAAATATATCACAGTATTACTGTTTTTACTGTATAAGGAGCATGAGAGACTTCTTTCAAAAACATACTAAAAAATCTTACTGATCCCACCCAAAATTGTATGTGGTATTGTATAACTGATTTTAATCATGTAAAAAATTGCATCAGATCAGCTCATAAGAGTGAACCTCTACATTAGGACAAGTTAACATATACATAAAAGATGGTGTTGGGTACCTACCTTGCTTGGCTGAGTAAAAGCTTGGATCTCTGTAGAAACGTAGGCGACTCCTCAAGTTCCTACAAAGCTGTTCCAGACAGGCCAATGCCTGCAACGTCAGGTAACTGACATCACCATCAACATTCAGGCCGAGAAGTGACAGCAGACTCTAGAGGGGAAAACAGCAATATATGAAAACAGAAGTTGATGTTGTCTTGTAAACCTAGCAGAACATGTGTAGAACTGTTATAACATTACAACTGATCCAAAATGGTGCCAGTGTTTTAAGAGCAGTGATTCGACATTCAATTAGGCACTAAATAAAAGGCCACCACCTGATACTGACTTTTATGTTGTGTAATTTGTACCAATTTAAAATTCACTACCCCTCCAGTGGTACCGAAGCAATGCCGATGAATCAGGGTGATTCGATAAACCTAATTGAACTGACCACGGAGTCAGAATCAGTGGCACTTTCAATTTTTAAACAATTAGACAAAAGATCAAGAGCATTAAGAACCAAAGAGAATGCTTGCAAAACAATTCAAAGCTTTACTCTAGCACATAAGAATTATGAATAATTTTCATTGAGGACATTGAGACATATCTCAGAAAAATTCTCTCAAACGCAGCCGTGCCAAAACATTTTTGACAGAAATACAGCAATGCTTGTCGCTTGGTTTTAAATGCTAGTACTAAAATGGCTAGTGTCAGCTTGCCAGCTAATCATCACGGTACGGTCCTAGACATAAGACATGATTTTCTACTGTCATTCCAATACTTTCAGGACTTGAACCTATTGTACGACCAATCAGATTCCGTGGCATTCAATTATAGAACGGAATGGGGATTACGGAGCCCACAATATCACTTTCATCACTGTCACTCAACTTATGAAGCTCCCATCAGGGGTTAAAACAACTGACAGATTGAAGACAGAAATTAAATTTAAATCTTACTTGAACTGTACTTGGCCTTTGCAGGAATATTTCAGCGGGGAAGTCTTGCATGATGACGTCCCGAAGCAACTCACATGTGGTTCGTACCAAGTTGTGGTTGCCGCTTCTAAGGGAACTAAAGATTGAGCAAGCAACAGGTCATTTTGGCAATACGACATACATTAGATGGTAACAGTGGTAAAATTACACAAAGCAGAGTGTACCATTACCTTTCATTTGATGACAAGATATGTCGATCTGTTGTGTTCAAAGACAGCCATGGAAAAACAGAGAACTTCAAGCATCTAACAGAAGTAATGACTGCGGGGTAAAGAAATAAAAGATATAAAGATCTTAAATAAGTGTAAAGACTTCAAACAAGGCCAAATTTCAACAAAAAGGATATTCCAGGCCCCGTTTGAAAGAGTTTTGGGCTAAGTGATGGAACTGTTACTTGGCCAATTAGACTGTCAGGTATGGTGCAGGTTTGGTAAAAACCTGTACGACTTGCTTTCTTCACAAAAGAAAATATTTTGAGGAACATTTAGGTCCAAACAACATTGGACCCCATTTACCCTCATTGTATGGACGAATAGAGCTTTTTGCTAATTCAATGAACATTTTTAAAAACGTCTTCTTTTGTGTTGCACAGACGAAAGAAAGTCATACATATTTGGAACGACATGAGGGTAAGTAAACGGTGACAGAATTTTAATTTTTGGTTGAAATAATGTGTTTGCCGATCATGCACATGCATTTTTATGCCTGGTTATTGAATAAAAATAAAATCTTAAAATACTCAAATATGTCAGCAGGGTTGTATGGCTAGATAACAGATTAGGATTGACAGAATAGCCAAAATGATTTGACATTTTTAAAAGCATCAGTTAGAATGCCTGAAAATTATAAATGAATTCCTGTTTTTTTAAACTAGAATGCTTAATTAAAAATATACTACCATTCAAACTTCAAAAGGTTGAGGGTCAATAAGATTTTATTTAAGAAATTAGTAGTTTTCTTCTTCAGCAATGATGCGTTAACTTGATTAAAATTGACAGTAACGCCTTTTAAATTGCTACCATAAAAAAGTATTTCAAATCAATGCTGTTCTTGTGAGCATTCTACTCATCCAAGAATCCTGGAAAAAAAAATCCACAAAATTTTAAGCAGCACAAATGTTTTAACATTTTTTGAGCAGCAATTCAGCATAAAAATGATTTTTGAAGGATCATGTTAAACTGAAGACTGGAGTAATGGCCGCTAAACATTAAACCTTTCCAACAAAAACTACATTTTAAAACATATTCAAATAGAAAACTATTTTTAAATTGTAAAAAAAAAAATCAAAAAAAAAAAAATCACAATATTAACTTTTGACAGTATTTTAAATGCAGCCTTGGTGAGCATTAGAGACTTTCAAAAGCATTAAAAAATCTTACCAACCCCAAACTTTTAAACAGTTAGGGTTAGTAGTGTATATATATATAATTTATTTCCTAATTTTACAAGACAGACATAAAGAAAAATTGCTCAAAATTATTCTACAAATCTGTACTACTGGTCCAACCTTGCCAGAAAAAAAAAAAAAAAGACTTGTTGCCAAGTCCTGACAATTCATACCGGTGTTGATATTAGATTATTTAACATACATTCTACAGTGAAGATTTAATGAGTTTAAGTTCTCCCTGAAAGTTAGTTAAACAAAAAGTAATTTGATGTTGATGTCACCTACATGATACTCTGGGGGTGGGAGCATCTGTCTGCTTGGGTTTACTGCACTGGAAATATCCCCTAGCCGACGAGTCCTCTTCTGAGAACACAAAAAGCATCTGTAGTTGAAAAGCAAATCAGAAACCAGCACTTTCAAGCTCTTCTCTGCTTTGAATCAGACAGTCTACTCATGTTCATTCCCGAAGCTGCTGCAGACAGCTATTCAAAAGGACCATGTGGCAACCTTGACATTGGTTGTAAAGACATCGATATCTACAGTAATCTGCAGAACAGACGGATATAAAATCAATGTAATGTTTTTATACCTGTCTGCAGTGCGGGAACAGAGTGTGGCTCGTAGGAGGTGGTGGGTGGACAACCAGGCAAGGCCTCTGGGAGGTGGAAGAGCTGATCGAAGATGCCGTCTACGGTTGTTCGGAGGCGAAGATCCACATTAGGCGAGAGCTGTGTTAGGAATTCGACAGCCCCTACCTCTCGTAGCATTTGGGCTGCGGTCGGGTGCTTTGACATGACAGGGAAACCAAAATTAGATATTACTCAAAACATGCCAGAGTAGAATAATCTGCCTGGTTCTTTGTGTGGATACTGACATCCCATGTACTTTATTTCCTCCCGAGCTGATTGGTAATGAATAGTGTCACTGCACTAGACCCATTAAAACATCACTTCCTTTCATGTCACTAAACGCAGCCTGACAATATAAAGACACTCGAGTCATTTTACATACATTCTGAACATTATCTACCTTGGACAGCATGCTGATCAAGTCCAGAACTTCTTCCTGCATTGGAACTTCTGGAAAATTAAACCATTCCAGAAGGAAAACAAACAGCATCTTTTCCTGGACCAGATCAGGAACAGCGATGAGATCATGATCCAGTTTACTTCTGATATTTTTAAGAGCCCGAACTCTGATTTCCACTAAGGAGTGTCCTTATGGAGAAAAAACAATGATGTATCAATAATGCTGTATAATAATACAATGCAACAAACTATGCAGAGCATCAACGTAGAAATATCTCAGTTGTGATATGCATTTTCATCATGCCACAAACACAGATTACAGATCAACTATCCAAGTTACAAAAAAAGTGCATTTGGATGTTATTGTCATAAACTAAACAACAATAAGAAGTTCGACAGATTATTCGCGAGCTCATAACAAAGCTATCAAAATGCACGCTCAACATCACAGTAACGTTAGCCTTTATATGACTTCAACAAGCTAAAACATGACGTTTTTGCGTGATACGACAACAATATTACCACGATGGATAATGATGCACACATGTTTATCTCAAATAACTGATCAAAACATATAGCTTCACTTGTTTAGCTTATCAAGCTACTTCAAAATCAGCTGTTTGTTGTTTAACTTCCGAAAGTCGTCTGTCTGTTGAACTAAGCGTCTTACCGATTTTCTTTATGAGTGATGATAACTCCATAGTTTATCTCACAGGTGGAAAACAAAAAAGACAACATTTACTGTGACCAACGGCGCTTTTCAGTTAACTTAAACGTCACATCCTCGTCATCATCGCTGGCAGCAGCGCGGGTCTGTTTTCAACTAGCGCGCCACTGTCAGGCACTTCCGGTTTATGTCAGTGAGATGTTGTGACCATAGACAGTATAAGAAAGGTTGTGACAAACTGAGTATGCTCAAACTTCACAACTGCTTGAAACAAAGATATGTTTTGCAAAATAAATAAGCACATCAATAATTGTCTTCTGTATATAATTTATCTGAATGTCCCCTTGTGAACAGTATTGTAGCTTCTGTAAAATTTGCCATAGTCTACCATGCTCTACTGTTTAACTTTTTCTGTTGTTGCAAGTTATAGATTACTAAATAATCTTCATGCAGTCTCTCATGTTGATCTAGCCACTACGAGGAGCATATTTTAGAGGACTAGGATGTGTGTTTAATTGATTTCTTAGGTGGCATTTGTACTGTGACTCTTTTCACCAGCTAGAAATGTCACTGTTTTGCAACACTGATACCTTTATCAACTACACTGTTTACACAGAAGAAAAATAATCTTATTTAATACAGTGAGATGAGTACAGTGATCTGTTTTCTTTTTCCAAACACAATGCATCAGTGCACATTTCCCCAACTTTCTTCCTAGCAAATTCACATTTTACCAAACATCAAAAATAGTGGATTAGGCCTATAAAGTATGCAAATACACTACATGTGTAGGCTATAAGGATTTTGCAGGTCATATTTATTTGGTGAGTCGGTGACTAACATTTTCACACTCTGGTTGGTGACATATGATAACACAGTGGGATCCTACAAAAGTGATAATTAAAAGACTAGATTGTGATATGGCTTGCAGGCACCATTTTACTTAAAAATGGTCTAATAATATAAGCGGTAGGTGACAGGAGACAGTGTGTTTCATCTGATTTTTAATACTGACCAAGATGTCCAGCACAATTATTTTTCAGGAATATTTTTGTATTATTATTATTATTATTTATTTATTTATTTTTTACAAATAATAGACATGCAGTTACATAACAGGCAGAGCATAATTTATCTTAATCTTAAGTAGATTTAAACATACGCCAAAAGGACATGCTCAGGAAAGATAAGGAGCGCAAGACATTGCTAGTTTTTACCAGAAAACTACCATAAAATTAAAAACTCCAAATGCGTTGGAATCAAAACAAGTCATACTGAAGGCTATATTTTTCAAAAAACAAATTTGAACCTGGAAATAAACAGTGTTTTAAAATTTTAAAATGGACAAATGGACATTCCAGATGGACAAAATCAAGTCCCGCCCTACATTTTTTGGTTCCAGAAGCCGTTTCACTCGGATCATCACAATATATTAGGGAAGAAAAGATCACAAACTCTGTTACATGTCGACTTTAAAAAAGAAAAATACAAAAGCCCTTTACTGTAGGCTATCTGTTATTTTAATCTATTTATATAAATCACTTATTTGTTATGCCATGTTTGTTATTATGTTGTCCTTAACAAACATTTCCAGTGTCATCCTTTATTATAATAAACTGAAACTGACGTTCTGTGTATCTGTGTTTCTTTATTAATAATCTTGAATCAATAGCACACAACCCGTTCTACAGTCTGATGAGCCTACAATCCACAAAAGATTGATTATAAAACAATTTCAGATGATTTCATAGACAGGTCTTCAGGATAGCTCTGGATGAGTTTTCTCTCCTCTTCCATCTGTCTTTATATCAGAACTAAAGGCCTGTATGTGGCGGATGAAATATGGTTTAAACACCTAAATGTTCACCATGTGCTCACTGTGATAGACCCTGCTGGTAATCAGTCTGGATCTGAGATCAGTCATTCAAAGCATTCCAGCCTGAGGAAACAGACTGCACCTTCAGATGAATGTGTCCTGGGTTCTGTATGATTCATCAACTCCTCTGGTATACCGAAGCTTCACTGTCCAAATCACTCTATTTGTCTAAAATACCACAGTGCTGCAGTCTCCTCCCTGAGCAGTCTGACCGGTTGATATGACTCTCAGCACATCCCTGACCTGGAGACCTTTGGACTGATTTCCCTGTTTTATTTTCCGCATGGCTGTCTCTTTCGGATATGCGAACCTGTGATTACGGAGAGGATCGCTTTGCGTCTTCTCCCACTGTGAGATAAAGTGCTTGGCTGATGAACCAAATCTATCGCCCTGGCTTGCACCCGTGCTCCCGGGCTCATCATGAATATTCCGCACTAAGAGTCCAATATGGAACATAACCCAAACACATTTGATATCGCAAAGACCTGGTAGAAACTTTGATTTTCTTATTTGGTTATTTTGAAACACTTGGCTGTCTATATGACAGTGAGTTTCAGGGTGTGTCTGGAAAAAATTGAATTTTGCTTTGTTAAAGTCAAGAAATAAAACTGTACAATTATTATTTATTATATTGCAGTTTATTATAAATCATTTATCTGTACATCATTATTTTTTAAATATGTAAAAACATTCAAATCGGCATGAAACGGACGTTGTGATAGTTTTTTCTATTGTGACCTATATCTGAGTGAAACGGCTTCTCGAACAAGAAAAAATGTAGGACTTGATTTTGTCCATCGGGAATTGGATCATTGTGGTTTGCTATTGCTGTGATGTCATGTGAGTGACAGGTTGACACGCCCTCGCATCAGTAAACACATCATCAGAGAAGAGAAGAGATGTTGCTGCAAGTGGGAGGGGAAGTTATTTCGATCAAAGAGGGGACATGAATTGAACAATAAAGATATAATGATGTGAATGGATAAATCATTTATAATAAATACTGCAATATTGCATAAAAAAACAAGAATTGTACATTTTTATTTCGATGATTTTAACTTCCCCCTCAGAGGCGAAATTTGCAATTCAGAGGCCCGTCTTAAAGAAACAATTGGAAAACATTGGCTATGTTCGAAATCGCTCTTCACTATTCCCTACATTACTCCACTAAAGTTTACTTGAGTGAGTGAATGAAAACCAGTGAGTGAATTCGGACACTGAGTGCGCCGTACTTTTGCATATTTTGTGCTTGGTGATTAATAATCGTTTAAAACTTAGAAAACTGGCAGCTCCAGTAGTAAAATGAAAAGATTTATCTTGAACTCTGTCATGTATAAACCTTAATTAAACAATTTCATAATCAAATACAAGGAATTTATCCCTGTATGATATTACGCTGTACCCACATTGGACCAGCGGTTTGGAAAACGGTTGGGTGGATGATTCAGCTGCGGGCGCCATCTTCTGGTCAGACATGGGAATTCATTCACTCTCACAGTGCATTATGGGTAATAATGCTCTGTATGCTTTCAAATCGTTTTCGCAGTACTTTTATGTCATAAACCGATCAGTCTGCACAGCGCCGCTTCAAGTCAAACACAGCATTTAATCTGCAGTGGTCAGGTGGTATCAGAAAATGACAAGTTTGCATGTAGTAATTTCAAGTTTTACAAGCACGTGAAGCCTTTTTACAGTTCAGAATTGTTACGGTAATTACGACATAGCGTGAACGCACCTCTATGCCATCCCATCGCGCAGTCACATTACTTTTTTGATGCGCATCAAGGAATTTATTCAGTAAATGTGTTTCCATCATAGTTCATGTGCATGTCTTCTTTTTGTTTTTTTTATGGACATTTTTTTTTTTATGTGCATCTTGGTGTTTCCATCCAGCATTTTTTTTATCCGATATCCCAAAATGCACATAAACATATTGTGGATGGAACATAGATTATGACACATGAATACAGTCTTTCCGACATGATGAACGCACCATAAATCATTTCAATTAAAGGCTATTTTAATGATCCTATATAATATCCAGCATAACATGAATGTAAAAACAGAAACATTTCTAGTTTGATGTCGATGAAGTGGGTCAATAAAGCTGGACAAAAAGGCTGAAGTAAAAACAGAAAGTGCATGTCAAAGTTACATAACAGACTCATGCCTCCAGCACATCATACTTTAACATTTCACAACCAGGCCATCATTATTATAAGCACGCTTATTCAAAGAGTTCATTCCCGACACAATCCTCAGACTTCTTCAAAGCACATTAACACCCAAACGACCCAAAAAGGATAGACTCAGTTTAAAGACAATGAGCAAAACATGTTTTACAAGCTAAAGTAGGTTAAATATCGATGGTGTTTTTTTTTTTTTTGGTAATTGCATTCAGCTCGAGTCGTACTATAGCCGACTCATTACATTCTGTGCGGCTCCAGCTGTTTCAGGTGCAATTAATGCAAACTCTCTCAGACCCTTTAAGGACTCTCCATGTAGAGCGAGCAGAGGTTTTGAAGGACTAGCTTGCGGATCACCTTTCTTGCATGCTAATGCATCCGGAGCATGCACTTGTTGACTTGAAAGGAAAGGAAGAAGGCATACGCTAAAGAGGTAAACATGATCAATCCAATAAATGACCCCGGACCGGAGAGCAAGAGCCAAGTAATCTCAGACAACAAAAACCCAAGTGGTCCCACTGGTACCATCACTGTCTGACATGTCTGTAATACACGTCTTCCGCTCCACTGCAAGTGTTGAAGATATTAGGGTGGGCACCGAGGGACCTCTGACAACCACCCCCCTAGCTAAAACAGTCAAGCTGAAGGACTAAATCAATGTGAAAGATGCTGCAGACATATTGAGCAAATCATTTCTGGCTCATGCAGCTTTCATACAAAATAGGGAAAAATCATATAAGATATGACAAATGATAATCTCCTGCTTTTGAAAAACATAGAAAGCATGCAATGTGCATAAAAAAATCTGTTTTATATAAAGATCCGGATTCGTCTTCTAAAACCACTTTATAAGCATGGCTGTGCTCTTTTAACGAAACAGGTTCTCTCCTCCTCTCTGGATATAATGTGGTTCAGCTTGATAAGCCTTAATAGGGGCATGTAATTAGACTCTTTGCTGAGGCTGTCTCTGCACAAAGAGCTCCAGCAGGTTCACCACTGCATTTTATTAACTTGACAGGTTAACTTAAAGGGAGGGGGAAACACAGCATCTCAGAGTGTGAGGCTCAAATTAGCCCAACAGCAAT